ACTCATTTCTTTACCTCTGGGGGGACATCATACTGAAGACTTAGGAAACATGACAGCACATTTCCCAGTTGAGCTGTTGTACCTGTGATTGTCATCTTAAGAATCTCTTGCTTACAAAGCAAAGTCCTGCTTAGTGTCACCAGTATCTGTTTAGTTACCAACCCTTCATTACTGTCTTGTGCCCAAGGTACTTTGAGACTGTGTCCGATGTGCTGAACTCAGTGAAGAAGATGGAGGAAAGCCTGAAGCGCCTCAAACAAGCCAGGAGAGCCCCAGCCGCCAACCCTGTCAGCTCCAGCGGTGGCATGAGTGATGACGACAAGATCCGACTACAGCTGGCTCTTGATGTGGAGTTCCTGGGAGAACAGGTACCAGCAACTTGAGCCTGGCTCTAGGGCCTGGCTGTGGCCAAAGCTGGGGTGCCGCCTCCCTAGGGCTAAGGATACAGAGTCAGGGCAGCTTGCTGAGAAGGAGGATGCGTGCAGGAAGTGGAAGATAGAGAGGGTAGAGGACACAGCATCCCCTCCCAGCAGCAAGCTTGGCCCTAGTGCTTCCTTCCCCATTTGCTCAAGCTGTCAGCATACCTGCCCCCGATACCCAAGTCCTGAGCCAGGGCCTGCAACCTCTTGCCGTGTCGGTAAAACCTTGATTTTCAAGTCATGGTGGATGGCTGATGGTAGCATGCAGACCTCCCATGGGGGGTGCAGTGATCTCAGTACCACCAAATTTACAGATGGAGGAAAACTGCTTTCTTGACAGTCTGGGTTTACACATAGCTTGTTATCCCAGCATTCAGAGTGATTAGACAGGAGGATTGCCATGAGTTAGATTGGGAGACTCTGTCTCAAAAAAGAGACAGACAGCCTGCAAGCATCAGCTACCATGTTTGTTTCATATGGAATCTACAGTCTTCTCACGAGCAGGGGAGCTTCACTGCAGACTTGGGCAGAGTGAGAAGCAGAAGAAAGGAGGCTGTGCGTCTCCGCCGCTGTTCGGGGGCTGCATCTCTTCAGTACATCTCACCCTGAGCAGGGTGCTGAGAAAAAGGAGCTCAGCTGGTGCCTTGTGGGAAACTCTCCAGCTAAAGAGTGATTTTCTTGCCAGGCAGTGATGGCTCACACCTTTAATCCCAGTACTTGGGAGGCAGAGACAGGTAAATCTCTGTGATGTGAGTTTGAGGCCAGCCTGGTGTACTGAGTGACAGCCTCCAAAGCTACAGAGAAACCCTGACTCAGAAAAGAAAAAGAAAGAAAGAAAGAAAGAAAGAAAGAAAGAAAGAAAGAAAGAAAGAAAGAAAGAAAGAAGGAAAGAAAATAAGGAAGGAAGGAAGAATTTTTTTTTATTCTCTGCACAAGGCTTTTTTCTCCCCTAGCATTTTCCGAAGCCCACAAAAGAGACCCTGACACTGGCCGAGTCTAGCGTGGTAGACTGAGGGATTTGGACATGCTAGCTTCTTAGAATGCAAAGCATTTGACCCAAAACATGCAGTTTTGCAATAAGCCAGTCCTTTGCGCTAACAGAAGACGTATCCCTCCTTCCTTTGGGAACTCTTTCTACTGCAATGGGGGCAGGGTGAATCCGTTGTTCTGGTTTGAATGGGGGCCTCTTTTCCTACTCAGATCTCATTACAGTGACAATTTATTCTCATGGCTTTGCAGATACAAAAGATGGGCTTGCAGACCAGTGACATCAAGAGCTTCCCAGCCCTCACAGAGCTTGTCCTTGCTGCCAGGGACCAGGCAACTGCAGAACAGTCCTAGGCAACCTGGCAGGACCTGAAATGGGGAAGAAAGCGACCCTTGTCCTCTGAGTCACCCAGCAACAGCCTGTACCCCTGCCCAGTGTATGTGGGCCATCTTTCACCCAGAAAGAACCAAAAGCCTTTCCATTGTATGGAAGATAGTTTTTATGACATTTGAAGCTTTTTACTATAGTTTAAGGAACAAATTGCTTTATTTTTGTTGTAAATCTTACTGTAGTCAAGCTGATTTCTACCGTAGGGTTAAAGCAAATACACAGGTGTGGCTACTGGGCTGCCGTGCCCTGCAGATGAAGCAGCGGGCAGCATGGCACAAACACGGTGTGGAAACACTGTCCACATCCCGGGAGACGCTGTCAGCCCTGGGCCTCCTCAGAGGCTGCAGGGTGGCCATCCCATCTTGGCACTTAAGAATAGCACTTCTGATCTTGCCAGCCACTCCTGTCAGAGCCAGAGCTGACAGCAAAGATTCATTTCCTAAATAAAAGAAGTGTCTGCTGCAAATGTGTAAGTTATGAATTCAGTCCAAGGGGCCCTTATCATGTATGCCTTCGGCAACACAATTGATTCCCTTTGTCCACATAGGCCAGTCAGCCAGGTCCGCTTGGTGGCTGCTACAGATGCATGGAATGGGTATCTACCAAGGAGCTATGCTGTCACTAGATAGTCACTAGAGGTCATAGCTGCACCTTGAACTCACGTTCCCATAACCAAAGACCCCTGCCTATCCTTGTCCCCTGATGATTATCACTTGATCCCAGAAAGGAGAGAGCACCATCTGCAGCCCAACTCCAGTATTGCTATTTCCATTCTTCAAATACCATTCTTCAAATAGGTAACCCAAGCCTAACAAAGTGACTGACAAGTGAGATTTAAAGGCTCCAAACTCAGATTACCAGCCCGTGTAACCACGCATATACACCAGCCTCAGTCCAGAGAGTTGGAGGTCCATAGTGGGCCTTGAGGCCTAATCTCTTACACTATTGGCTCTGACTCCAGACCATTACATCCCAGCCTCCCTGTAATGCTTCTGCACTTGACAGCAGGACGTTCAGGCCAAAGCTAACAGTTTAAGACTTGTGTCCGGCTTCCCCAAGACAGCTCCCTTGTTATTTTTCCTTAGTTTCCCTGTTGAGATTCAATTTAATTCAGTCAGGTTTAAAGTTAAAGTAATAGGTTTTTCCAGCTTCAACATTTTACACTAAAAATCCATCTCCAATGTAGTTTACTGCTTTCTGGTATAAAAGAGGCCTGTAAGGAGGAGGCCTGTCTGTCATCCAGGAGCCTACCTGTAGCCCACCATCTCCCTCCTCTGCAACCAAAGAGCGTGCATTGGTTTCTCGGGCTGCCCTTAGTGACCACAAATAAGACAGTTGAATGCGAAGAAAGATTCTGTTCTGGAGGCAGATATTCAAAATCAGTGTGTTGCTGCCCCCCTCTGAGGGCCTGTGGCCCAGGTTGTTCTCTGTTGGGAGGGCCCTATGCTGTATATACCGTGCTCCAGCCCATAGAGCAAGCACTGAGGGTGGAGTTGGGCTGAGGGGGCAAAGCTGGGGTGAACCGCTCATGCTGAGGACTACAAGGCTCTATGACCAGCATGACTTCTGCTGGCTTCCAGTTCAGCTTGTAGCCTGTCAGCCACAAGACAGAGCTCAGCTGTGCTGTGTCCAGCAAGGCGCTGACACCAGGTTAACTAGCACAGGCCAGGCTCAGGCTCAGACTCCTCTGCTAAAGCAAAGAGCTGTGGAGTGTCATCTTCTGGGCCAGCCCAGGGTCCTGATGTGGTAGGCTAACAAGGGGAGGAGATGGTGGGTGTTAGAACCCCAGTCATATGGGGTAGCTTGAACCTCTGAGCCCTATGCCAGCCCCACGATTGCCTAGTCAGAGGTTCCCATGACAGGGAGTAGGGGACAACTAGCTCTACTGTGGAAGAGCCTGGGCTGCTGTAGGGGGGGTGGCCTTGAAGAACTCTTCATTTTTGCTCCATAAGGGGCCAGTCTCAGCCTGGATATCAGTTCACCACTGTTGTCTCTCCCATCTCCTATGATGCTTCATCTTGTCAGTCTGATGGAATTTGGAATCATCCAAGAAACAAAACTCCGGTCATGCCTGGGAGAGAAGACCCACCCTAAAATCAGGCAACAGAATCCCATGGGCTAAGAAAGTGAGCCAAACACCAGACTCAATCCCTGTGTGTGTCGTAACTGGAAGGAACCAGCTGTCTGGTGCTGCTCCTGCCACACTCTCCACCACTGAAACATGAGCCAAAATAAACCCTTAGGTTGCTTTTGTCTGGTGTTTTGTCACAGCAATGAGAAATTTACTTTACCTCCCTCTGGGAACACGGCCTTTTAGAATTAGAGTAAATCTACACACCTTAGCATTTCCTGTTTGGTACACAGGCCAGGGAGAATGAAGAACTGGCTTCCAGTTACATCATGGTACATAGATCCCTCCCCTGGCACAAGCAGCCGATGGTTAGATTGGTCACACCCACAAGGTAAAACTGACAAGCTCTCATTGTGGTATTGGAAGCCAAAGAGGGTTGTTCAGGAGGAAACAGGACTAGAGTGAGGAAGGCTGAGATTCAGGGGACATTGTAGCTCTTCTGTCAGAATGGATCTCAGTCACCGGGGCACACCCCACTTGTCCTTTCAGGACCCTGTAATCCCAGCTCCCCCTGTCTAAGATGTTAGGTTGTGCTCTTGCAGAGTCAAAAGCTCCCACTTAGGCCAGAAAAGTCATTCCATGTGCTAACACAGGATTCCTACTATAGGCGCCATGGGTTCTACTGCTGTACTTAGGTGCTCTCTGGCCTTTTCCTGTGGTTAACATGCTACATTTTCACTGCTTCCCTGTTTGTTCAGGGAGGAGGAGGCAGCCTGCTACACACACACACACACACAAGTTGTGGCTATAATCTCAAGGAGACATAGAGAAGCAAGTGGCAACCCTGTGTCTTTGGAGTAAAGGAAGTACCCTCTGCCCAGGTCCTCTCTCAGTGCCCCTTGGGGACAGAGCTTTTCTCTGCCACCCAGCTGTCCCACATTGGTCTTTGTCAAGCTTCAGGAACACCGCTTAGACTGTCATCTAAATTAACCATGTCAAATTTCTCAGCAAAGTGACATGGTGTTACAGTAGTATGAATTCAGTTTGGTGCCATGGGTAAGAAAACGTTGGGTGGTGTAGGACTCTGAAGGTCATGGTCTCAGACTCCATGAGCTAAATACAAGCCCAAAGCAAGGGGACAGTGTGTATTTTAATGTTAAAACCCAATTTTTGTTCTTGAATAAAAAGGGAATGCTTTTTGGCTTCACAAACAGTTGTTGGGTCCAAATTCTTTCCAGAATGGTAGTCCTGCGCAGAGCAGTGGTTTGCTCTCAGTACCAGCTCCTGGCTCTCACCCCGGTCTCCAAACAAACCCGCAGCCCAGGAGGCCACCTCTGATGCTCACTGTTTATTCTCAGCCAGTGCAGTCTCCATGGAGATGGCCTCTGCCTTGCTGGAAGGAGTAGTGGAAAGCCAGGGGTAGCAGCACTGATTTTTGCCCAGGATAGCTCTCTGAAGCTGGCCTTGTTTCCATGGCTGCACATGAGGCCTTGAGGAGCCCCTATGGCACCAGGCCTCACAGCACACTCTGAGGGTTACCCATTCTGCCCAGAAAGTGCAGGGCACCTAAGTACCGCTCATAAATGGCGAACAGGAATGGGCTGCTCAGGGTCACATCCAGGGCCTCGGGTGAGCCAGACTGCTGAGCAGACTCCGTTGGCTGCTCTTCCTCACCTGCTTTGAGTTCAAAGAGGACGCTGTTGAGAACCTGCAAGGCAGAGACATCTCTTCAGGAGGGCTTTGCACATCAGAGACTGCTGAACTGCCCTAGGGGAGGACACTCCTCTAAGTGGGCCCCGAGCATCAGCATGCCCCACGACCACATCACCTGCCGTCATGATGTTGCTCTCCAATGTGTGGCCAAATGGCAGAGTGGGCTCGTGTCTTCTACAGTAACCCTCTTTGTTTCCCAGCAGCTAGCAGAGTGCCAACAGTACCCAGGTACAACCTCTGTTTTACATGGTTCTCTCTCTCTCTACTGCAAAGCTGCTCCTCATAGAAACTGCAGACCAGAGCATTGGGGTCATTCCTCCCACCCTAATCTACAGATTCCTGGAGGATGCAAGGTTGGACTAAGCAGGGACAGAGTCGGACCTGGAGCTAGAGGAAGCAAGAGAGCTGAGTGGGAGACTGCTGTTCCCCGTGTCGCTGGCATGTCAGAGAGCACAAGCAATGCCCACGGGCCCTGCTCCTTCTCCCTACCCTGTTGGCCTTGCTCATGGCTTCCTCCACATCGCCGTCCACCCCCCACCCCCACCCCGGAAGCCAGAGCAGTGCTCACCTCTCCCACCCTGGGGTTGGTGTCACTGATCTTGCCCAGATTTGCCTCAGCACCCAAAAGGGTGGACAGCTTGGCCTGGGCCAGCAGATCCTGCAGGTTGTAGGATCCTTGGATTTCCAGCTGGGGTAGGGTCAGGCGGATGGTCCTGTGGAGATAATGCAGTTAGAGGACTGGGGAGCTCCCACCCACTTAGGAAGGAGACCCTGAGCTCTCACCCATTCAGTGCTGTTTAACTATGTCCCAAGCTGAAGGAGGCTCGTAAGCCTCAGAAAGCCCCTAGCATTGTGTAAACGAGAAACAATTGCTGGAGAGAGGAAGGAGACTGGTAGAGCTGCCTCCAAGCTGTGCAGGGCTTCCTAGGGATGCAGCTTTCATGAGTGGTGGGTCAGCCATGCTGTGGTGGGCTCCTTGGTGATGCACCCACACTTATGAAGACAGTAACCCCAGTAAGTGCACTGAATGACCAAATTGGACGTGGAGGGAATTGTTCCTTTGGTCTGTCTGTAGCCACTGGCCTATCTGGGGTGAACAGACGTTTGCTTGTGTCTCCCCAGGAAGGATCACACAATACAGGGCATCCTTACTCCAAGGAAATTCTAGAACAACAAAAGCCTCCACATGGCCTACAGCAGGAGGCGGACCTGAAACATCCACTGTGGAGAGCTTGCTGAGGGTGGGCTGCTGTCCACCCTTAGTTCTCACCCTAGCTGTATAGCCCAGGCAAGGGAATTACCACAAATTCTAGACCCTCTCTAAAAACCAAAGTACTAATAAAATAAGATAATGGCCTCTGTGCTGGCTAGTTTTATGTCACCTTGATACAAGCTATGGTCATCTGAGAGGAAGGAAATGCAATTGAGAAAATGGTTCCCTAAGATTAGGCTGTAGGCAAACCTGTAGGGCATTTTCTTAACCAGTGTTTGAAGTGGAAAGACCCAGCCCTTTGTGGGTGGTGCCATCCCTGGGCTGGTGGTCCTGTGTTCTATAAGAAAGCAGGCTGAGCAAGCCATGAGGAGCCAGCCTGTAAGCAGCATCCCCCAGGGCCTCTGCATCAGCTCCTGCCTCTAGGCTCCTGCCCAGTTTGAGCTCCTGCCTTGGCTTCCCTCGGTGGACTGTGATTCAGGAGGGAGGTAGTATCTGTAGTGTCATAGATACCAAAACATATCCACAGCTACACAGCTCATGATAGAATGGGGGAGGGATGGCAACAGGACACACTGTATGTGTGTGTGTGTGTTCACAGACATGTGAACATGCAATGAATGCATTCATTTAATCCTACCGAGGAGGCGGGTTCTTTATCCGAGTCAGGAAGTCATGCTGGAAGACGAGGGCCTCTACCCTGTCTAGATCAGAGATGCAGTGAGGTTGGATCAGCAACAGGGTGGCACTCTCGCCCAGGGGCACTCGTGTCATCGAGAAGTTGTTCTGGGAGTCGCTCCAGTGTTGGAAGGTCCCAGTGCCCGAGAGCATGGGGACAGACACTGTGGTGCTGTTGTCCACCCAGAACTCACGGGGTCCAGCCAGCTGGGAGAAGCCTTTCATCTTCCCTGAAAGCCACAGAGACCAAAAGAATGCTCAGTGGGGAGGGGGGGAGCTCTCCCGCCCTGCCCCGCCCCCTAGCTTCCTCATCTATTCACCCTGCCATGAGGCTGCACTGGCCTGGCCTGGAGACTTCTCTCTCTGACACCCTTTTGTAAACTCTGGTCACTTGAATTCCCCACAGAGGCCCTGACAGTAGCAGAAAACACTGCACATGCTGGTGGGGAGTCTGAGGTCTCATATCTGTCACCTGCAGAGACTAAGTCTGCTCCTGCCTGACCAGGCAAACTCAACCCAGAACCATTCTGGTTTGCCAACTCACTTTTTTACAAACTCAGAGATTATAGTCTGGGGAGATGGCTCCATGGATACACTGCTTGCTCTACAAGCATGATGACCTGTCCCTGGAGCCCCAAACCCTTGTAATAGCCAGGCATGGCAATGAAGGTCTACAATGCCAACCCTGAGATGTGAGGACCCCAGGAGCTCACTGGCCAGTTTAGCTGAAATGGTAAGGCCCAGGTTTGGTAGGAAACTGTCTCAAAAGCTAAGCCACAGCTGGCACCTTTGCCCTTTGGGAGTACTCCTGTCTCAGTGACAGTCTTCCCAGGCTCCTCACGGGATCTGTGGCTCAGTTCCAGAGTCCTTTCCAACTTACACAGGGTGTAGCCACCTTCAGCAGCCTCGTTCCTCTAACATTCTCCTCCCTTCCCGGTCTCAAGGGCAGGCCAAGCTCTCTTCCCATTTGAATTCATAGATGACAAATATGATGTCACTGCGGCCAAGTCATCGGGCCACTGATCCCTCTGCCTCCGCTCTGGCTGGCACGTCTTCCCGATGCCCCCATCAGTGTGCCCCTCCCCCAAGAGCCATCAATTTGAAGATCTGACACCCTTGTGCACGTTCCCAGGAGATGTACCTGGCCCATTGCACGCTCACGCGCCACGCGCGCGCGCACGCGCACGCGCGCGCACACACACACACACACACACACACACGCCTGCAGTGCTGCTGTCACAGGCCACAAGGCTGACATCCAAAGACTAAAACTGTCCTGCTCAGCCCACTGGAGTAGGAGTACTCCTCACAGAGTGTTCAGTCTCTTAGCCGAGCCCGCCCTTCTACCCTTACCCCCACCCTGATCTCCTGAGGCTTTGCAATGGTGTTTGCCCTTGGCCTTCACCAGCCTGTTACAACTCACTCCCTTCCACCCAACTTAGCACTGTTCCTGCAGTGTTGCCTCGGACATTTGCCCTTGGGGTCTCCATACTTGCTGATGTTAAATAAGGAACCTGGGGTCAGAATCTCCTGCCTGCCTGAGACTCCTGCCCAGTCTTGCAAGTAGTTAAGAATAAACAACTTCCCAGACAGGGATATATGGGTAATTCCCTATGTGAGCAAGCAAGCTGGGTGTTCCTGCCTGGGCCAGCCACCCTACTCCCAGGCTTCTCAAGACATAGAGGCTTGGCCAAGCAAGAAGGGGTGTGGGTAGGGAGGTGGGGCTGGGCCATCTTGAGGCAGGCTTGCTTCCCGAACCTCCAGGGCTTCACCAATAACACAGAGGCAGGAACCTGCCACCCCTGCCCATCTCACACATGGACCTTAGGGGTGCCATGGAAACCTGGATGCCACCTCTGGTACAAGCCAGGTTCAGGGCTGACCCAAGGATTTGTCTTACCTTGGAAATGAACATAGGTGTTGAAAAGCAGGGTGCTGTCTGCACTGACCCCTTCCAGTGGCAAGTTCATCTTCCATCCTGTCACAGCCTTTATGAACCTGTTGATTTTCTCAGTGGCAAGACCTGGGTCAGTGGCTAAGTCCAGAGAGCGTGGGAAGACGGCAGGGGCAAACGGGGCCAGGCCCTGAACAAATGGCTGCTTCAGGCGTAGGCCTGGGGCCGTGAATAGGCCCACTATAGTGGATTGTAGCAGATGTGCCTGGCTGCTAGTATCACCCTGGGTGACCAGCAAGCCCTGAATGGCCTGCAGGGCAGCAAGGACCTTGTGCCCATCCAGCCGGGAGGTACAGTCTCTGTCCTTCACAGGAACACCCAGCAGTGCCTGCAGCTGGCTGGCCGTAGGGTCCAAAGACCCAAGGTAGAAAGAGACCAGGGTACCAAAGAGAGCTGGAGGGGAGAGGATGGCTCCACTAGCCACGCCTCCTGCCTCGCTTAGCATCTTGTACATGCGGAAACCCATGAAATTGGCTATCATGGCGACCTGGGCAGCCCGCTGGCGATCCTCGGACCCTAGCTTTTCAGTAGCCAGCACAAGCTGGTCGTGCAGGGTCTTCTCATCCACAGGGGAGGTCTTGGCCTGAATGGGAACGGGCGCAAATGTCGGCTCTGGCGGTGTCTCTGCATTGGGGTTCTCCAGCTCGGCACAGCTGCTCTTGCTGTAGAAGAGGAGATGGAAGGGGTGGATGTATACCCTGTCCCCAGTTGCCAGGCTGACCCAGGTCAGGATGCAGAAGACGATGGCCTTCAGGCTCATCGCTGTGGAAGTCATCGTTGATATGAGCGCTCACTCCTGTGTGTCCTAGAACAGCATTATGTGAGAGTGGCAAGAGGTTATTTGGGGCCCTGAAGCCAAACCTTTAGTTGTTCTGGTATTCCCAGTGACTGCATGTAATATACACCCTATGGGTAAACACCCATGTGCTGTTTTAGCTCACTGGGCTAAGGGCTGCCTCTTCATTCCCTTTCCAGGCCCAATTGTGTGATCACCTACTTCTGCTGGGTGTTTTCAGAGCATGAGCTGATGATGGTTTGGCATCTATCTGCTGCTTCTATTCACCATGTGCTATTCATTTTGACTTTGTTTGCTATATACTTAATAACTCACTCGCTCAAAACCAAAAGCGTGGCTATCACAGATGGTCCAGGGGAATTCACCCGCAACTGGAATCAGGGAGAAGAAGAAGGACTGTAGTTGAAGATCCATGGAAAACTCAGCATGATCCACGTGGAAAACACACTGTGTCATACACTGAATTGCTCCCCAGATTTACAGTTAACATTCCTACCACCGGGACCTGGAAAGCGACTGTTTGGGGATGGAATCCAGGGCTTCTTGCATGCTCAGTGAGTATTGTACCAGTGCATTCCATCCCCAGACATTTTACTTTAAAAACAAAAACAAAAACAGGGTTTCATGTAGCCCCAGCTGGACTTGAACTCACTATGTATAGGTTAGGATGACTTGAAGTTCTGATCCTCCTGCCTCGATCTCTGAGTGCGTGCATTACAGCACACCCCGCCGCTCCTAGTTTATAAGAGAGCTAGGGATCCACCCCAGGCTCTCATGCATGCTAAGAAAGCATTCTACCAAACGAGCTACATCTCTAGCCCTCTTTTGGCCTTTCTTAAGTTGCCCTGGCTAACCTTGAAATCACTCAGTATTCTGGGCAGTCTTGAACTTCTGATCCTCCTGCTTCAGCCTCCCTGGTAGCTGGGATTACAGGCCTCCTCCACCCCACTCATCAGAACGTGACTAGATTTAACCATAGGGCCTTAAAGACAGGAGTAAGGTAAAATGAGGCCCTTATGTAAATTGACTGACATTATACAAAGAAGGCATCTAGGGACAGGGATATAGATCAGTTGGTGAAGTACTTCTATTGCAAGCATGAGGAGCTGAGTTGAATCCCCAGAACCCGTGTAAAATCACCAGGTGTGGTAGCATATGAATGTAACCTCAGCACTCGGGCAGTGGAGACAGGTAGACTCCTGGGTTTTGGTGGGAGAGGGGTGGCTCCCTGGGTTTCTCTGGCTAATCAGTCTAACCTAATAGGCAAGCTCTAAGCTAACGAGAGACTGTGTCTCAAAGGAGGTAGACATCATTCTGAGACGACACCCAAAGTTGTCAGACAACCTCTATACACATGTGAACACACTTGCACACACACGAGTGCTATGCACGTACACACACAATCATGCATACATGCACACACACACACACACGCACAAGAACATCAGGATCCAGGAACACAGGTCCCTGAGAGACACAGGGAGAGGAGTTCCTTTTGTTATCATACTAGGCTCTGGCACAGTCCTGGTAGAACCAGACATACAGGTGCCAATGGTTATAAGCTCATCCCTGGAGAACTACATATGAACAGCCAGTTACCTTTGTGGAGCTCTCATACCCACATGGGTGTACCCTACAGTTGGTTTTAGTGTCCATGAGGTTCTAGCATGTAGCCAGAATTAGGTGCCAAAGCCTTGCCCAAGCCCGGGTCTGTCTTTCACACCTGTCATATGCTCCAGGCAGGCTGGATCCCACAGTGACAAAAAAAAATCCAAAATTGACATGCCTACCCAGGGTTGGCTTCAGAAGTCTATAGTAAGTCAGGAATTGATTTGAACTGCCCAGATGGCTGTGAGGCACGGACAGTGCTTGAGGCCCTGCCCAGGAATGGGCGAGGAGGTGGAGGCACCCGGTGAGCAGGATACCCTTTTCCCTTGACCCTCAGCCCTGCTTCAGTCTCAGCTGTCATAGACAGGACACACAGTTAGCCTGGACTCCCAGAGCTCCCAGGGCTTGCTGAGCTGACTGTGAGAAACCTACATCTTATTCCTCTGATCCTGGAGCCAGGGGAACTCTATCCATCATTCAGTTCTGACCATGTAGACCATGGGCTTGTTTCTATAGAAACAACCATCCTGTCATGTGACTTCCTACCTCTCACCTCACTTGTCCATGGCCATTGCTGCTAGGCCTTGGTGCCTCAGCCCTGACTGGAGGTCACCTTGAAGCCATCATTTCCCCTACTTCACCTTAACACATACAATCTTCCACCTTCCATCTTCCATGGCGCTCGACAAGACAACCCCAAGGTCCCTATGTGAAGGTCTTAATGCACAGCATTGTTCTGTTGAAGGGGCTGTAGACATGGGGGTGTAGGGCCTGCTGGGAGGGCCTGAGGTCAGTGGGGATGTACCATTAAGAGGGGTTACAGGACCTCTGTACTTATTTTTCCCTCTTTATTGTTTTTTTCTTCCTAGCTACATGGGGAGCAGCTCGCTTGGCCAAATGTTTCTGCCATTGCTACCTGACACCCCCAGCAGGTCCAGAGCAATGGGTCTGTCTGAAGCTGTCCTGTAACTTCAGCACTATGAGCCAAAACAAACCTTTCCCTTTATAAGTTAATGATCTCAGAATGCCACTATGGTGTTGCAAAGCTGCGAGGTGACCCTAGCCTCCCACACTTAGGTCATGTCACCTGCCTGGGCTGCACATAAAAGTCTTCCACAGACAGGCAAGGTGCTCTTTGCTCTGCTCGGGTCATCCCGCTGGTCAGATGACCTTTGGCTTCTGACCCTCCAGCACCTCCTCCTCCTGGCACACACATCTGGTTCCACTCACCATTCTCAAAGACAGCCTTCTGGTTTGGAAAAGCAGAATGGAAAACCCTACCTGTGCCCGCTAGACCTTCCTACACAGAAGAGCGACTGTGCCCACCTGTGCTATCATAAACCAAGGCATGGTAGGGTGGGTAACACAGTCCCTCCCTTATTGCTGTTCCTGCGAATGGGTGCTGTCTAGGGAGCTGTGTCATGGTCACTGTCCCAGGAAGCGCGTCACTGCTGTTCTCAGGTGAAGCTGGCTATTTGCTCTCAGCTGTCACCTGCTGCCATCCAAGTTCATCCGAAGTCAGGTTGCATCAGGTCCTGAGAACAGAGGAGTTCTAGACCCCTCCTGCTCCCCCCCCCCAATCAGTCACTTCTCTGTGTCCCCGTCCTGTGGCTTCTCAGGGCTATGTTGCCTGTCCTGTCATTGACAGGGTGTGTTTTCAGTGCTTAGATGTCACCGGCTCATCTTCACCATTCGCTCCCTAGGCACCTCTGTCACCTCCTCCTTACCTAAAGCCACCAGAAGTACCCTGCAGCTGTGTAGTCTGCTTTTCACAGGAACCTGAGTGCTACAAGTCCACAGGTTAGCCCACCTTCTGGGACAGGCAGATCCTCAATAGGCAGCTGTCAGGTAGAGTTACTGATGCCATTTTGTAGAGGAACAGACAGTCTGGTTACCTGCACCAGGTCACAGCCATGACTCAGACATGACCCTTGATTCCATGAGTGACATTTAGGTACAGTGCACATTGCCTCTTAAAAGAAATGAGGAATGACAAGGCTAGGAAGATGTTCAGCAACTGAGAGCAGTTTGTTGCACAAATATGAAGATCTGAGTTCAAGTCCCCTGAACCCCTGTAAAAAGCCAACCATGGCCACATAGACTTGTAACTACAGGGTTGTGGAGGGTGGAGACAGGGTGATCTCTGGGGTTGCCAGCCTATCCCTAGCCTCAGTGGGGGACTCTGTCTCAAGGGAATAAGAAGGAGAGTAACAGTCAGGATACCCAATGTCCTCCTCTGGTCTCCAACTGTGTTCATGGGCTGCTGGACCCATCCCTCCCACACAGTACATAAGCACTCACTCACATATACACATATATGCATGCATGCATGCATACATAAATACATACACCACATGCCACATACACATAAACACACACATACATTGGGCTGGGTGTGGTGATGCATTCAGGAAGCAGAGGCAGACAGAACTCTGAGTTCCAGCACAGTCAGAGTTACAGAGTGAGACCCTGTCTCAAAAACCAAAACACACAGGTACTACACAGTATAAACACACACCACATAAATACATGCACACCACACATACATCACACACACACACACACACACACACACACACACACACACACACACACCACACACTAAAACTAAAGGAGCTAACTTCCTGATTAGCCTGACACTATCAGTAACTCCTACAGCACTGAGCCCTCCTAACATGCCCAGCCTCAGAGAACCTTAGAGCCATGAGGAGACCAGTTTACAGAGGGGCAAGTTGAGGCTCTGAAGCACTGTGAGGGGCCAGATGACACAGACCCAGCACTGAGCCTGGACGGAGACACTACTTGAGATGACCACGGGACTTGTCCCTGCTGCTTGTAGCCTGAACAATGAAGTCTTGTTCTCCCTTCAAGCTGGAATAGGTCCCGAGGACTTGGCCACCCTAGTGCTGATCCAGTGCAAATCCTTCCACCTCTGAGGACCCTGCTGGGCTCACAGGAGGCAGAAGACCTGGCTATCCTGCCTGACTGAAGACAAGCTATTCCCCGTGAACCCAGAATGAGTGGTGAGCAACAGAGGACAGCCTATATCTAGCCATTCAGGAGAAGAGACGCGGGCAGTGGTCCTGTCTCCTGAAGCACCTGCCACCACAGACTTCTGGCTCCTCACTCCAGAATGAATGCTAGCCAGCCCTTCTCAGCGTCTGCCCATGTCCTGCCTCCTCTTCCCACCCACAGCTCAGCTACTGCCCAGCAGGACCCTATGAAGCGCCAGAAAGGAACTGAGAGGGTCTACTTACCTTTAACTCCAGCCAAACAAGCACAGCTATTCCCTGGTGAGCCACACAGACTTATTTATACTGGAGGGGTGGAGGTGGATCTATTCCCGGGCTACTCTGTACAGAGGCTGGGGGAGGATCCAGGTCGGGAGGCCATGGGAATCCAAGCTTAGCCAAGATGAACCAAGGCCAGGGCGATGTTCCTTTGGGCCCCTTCCAGGAAGCCCTGGTGACAGATGAACGCCATGCAAAATGGGCTGGCGTTGAGTTCAGTTACACATTTACCCCAGTTCCCTGGAGTCAGGGCCACAGTCACAGGACTGGCTGGGTTGTGACAACCCGAAGCCAGCCATACAGGCCTTGGGACTCAAGCCTCTTGTGATGCACTTGTAAGCCTCTCGGGACTTGCCGGGAAGGGGCCCTCCTGCAGGGGAATGAGCGTCACGTCGCCAGATGCTCTCAGGGTGTACAACCTTGAACAGCTGTAATTGTGTTAGTTGCCTGTTCTGCCCAAGGGCTTCTAATGGGCTGTGGATACACACCACCAGTAGGAAATGCCTTCTGGAAACTTCTGGCACATCTGGGGAGGCTGTAAAATTCCAACTGTGGTGCAGCCATGTTGAAACAAAATGTTCTGGGCTTGTGGTCAGTAACTGCCTGTTTTGGAGGGTAGAGTTTTTGGAGTGTCATCTTGGCGAGCATAGAAAATGAATGGGAAGTCAGGGTTTCAGAGAATGAAGCTAGTGGGATACCAAGGAGGGGAGGGAGTGTGGGGACAGATGAGGACACCACAGGCCCAGGGGAGAGGCATGCTAGAGGCTTCTCCCATGCAGACCACCGTAGATGTCAGCAAGCTTGCATTGTCACAACAACCTCAAGCTATCTCTTGGCCATGGAGTAGACACATGCACAACTTACCTCCACCCAGATAAGGCATGAGAAAGAAAAGGCAGGAAGCGGGGAGGGGTGGCAGAGCAATCCCTGGATGAGAAGGAAACAGATGCCCAGTACAGGGCATGATGGGACCTGAGCTGGGGGCTGGAGAGTGACCTTCACTGGGTATGGATGTAAAGTGACTACAAGAAGGTCTCAGTTGGAAGCCAATTGCAGGAGGGCATCAAGGCTGCAGCCATGAATGCCTACACTCTGAGAACTGAAGAAGTCAATGCCAGCAGCCCAGGGGGATATGCAGGGAGTAAGGGCTCAGGAAAGGTCAGCTGTGGGCAGATTTTCCTAAGGAGTGTACGAATGACTTAGTAGCTTTGGGGTTTAGCAGGGAGACCTGGGTTGGGGACACAAGAGTACAGTTCCTGAATGTAGGGATAGAAAGATCTTTCTTCTCAGTTCTTGACCCTAGAAGGCTGGATCTTCAGATCATTGAACATCTTTTTGTAGCTGGACTCCTCACGATCACTTCAGGATAGGACTAGTGACTGGAGAGTCTGGCCATACAATCAAAAGGAACTTCCAGCCCCAGTCCCCTGCAAAGAAAGAAGGGCTGAGACAGAGTTGAGCAGTGATGATAAAGATGTATGCAGAGGTGCCTCAGAAAAGACCCTGTGCCCTGGGGTCTGGAGAACTGCCAAGCTGAAGAATGCATATGAGGATGTGTTTCCCAATGTGACGAGGTCCTGTGCCACAACTGTTCTGCCTCTTGCCCTTAGTAGCCCCTCATCTGGATGTTTCTGTGGGTCTCATGATAAACCAGCCAAGAGAGGCAAAGTGAGTCACTGGAGCATTTCTGGCCAATTGCGAAGCATGAGGAAGAGGAGGGACAAGCCTGTTGTGGAGCCATGCTGTACGGAGAGTGGGTAGCCCTTGCTACTAAGATTTTTGAACATGAGCCACCTTCCTGACAGTCATCTCTGGCTCTTCATTGCCTCCATCCCAATTAACACGATAACAGGTGCATTTCACTCCAGCTGGAGTAACTGGCCCTGTGGAAGCAACTTAGACAACAGAGCTCCTGGACCAGGCTTGCTATGTAGACTCTTTCTGGTGATCCACACCGTGCCTGACAGGTGCTGCAGTTCTCCTAACTGCAGGGACTCACTACGGTTTACCAAGCCCATGAAACCTCAGGCCCACTGAGAGCACACACAGGCACACACATATTCCTGCTCTCAGCTCCTGGAGCTTCCTGCATCCCCAGCTCAGTGAATACACAGCTGAGAGACTTGCACTAGGAGGGAATCAAATGCACATTTTTGTCTTCAAGAAAAGCTGTGCGTGTATGTGTGTGCATGTATGTAGTTTGTACCCACGGGCATATATGCATGATTGTTGCATGCATGCACTTCTGTGATTTTCATGTCTGTGTGGCTTGTGCATACCTTTCATTGGGTGCCACATGTAGTCGGAGTTTCCCTTCCCTTCTGCCTGCTCCCAAATAACTGCCTCGGAGACAATATAAATTACAAATGCGCAGCTGATAGCTCAGGCTTGTTCCTAGCTAACTCTTACACTTAACCCATATTTTTTATCTATGCTTGGCCATGTGGCTTGGTACCTTTTCTCAGTATGGTGTGTCCATCTTGCTCTCCATGCATCTGCTGGCGACTCTCTCACTCAAAACTTCTTCACCCCAGTATCCTCAGTTTGATTGTCCTGCCAAACTTTACCCTGCCTTGCTATAGGACAATCAGCTTCTTTATTAACCAGTAAGAATAATACATATTCACAGTGTACAGAGGATTATTCCACAACATTTTGTGGTTTGTGCATATATGTATATCTGTATGCTTTGCATGTGTGTATGTGCGTGTGTGGTTTATGCATGCATACATGTTTGTATGTGACTAGGATAAATGCTATCAGGGGCTTGAGAGTCAGGGCTGTATTGTGTCTTTATTTCTGTTACTTGTTTTGGCTTTTTGTTTGTGGTGTTGAGGGTGGATTGGGGTAAGGACTATGCACTATGCCAGCCTTCCAGCTCTCACCATAGACTTGACATGAAAGAGAATTCAACCTGATAGAAAATGCTCTTGAGCCGGGCGTTGGTGGCGCATGCCTTTAATCCCAGCACTCGGGAGGCAGAGGCAGGCGGATCTCTGCGAGTTCGAGGCCAGGCTGGACCGACAGCCTCCAAAACAGAGAAACCCTGTCTCGTAAAACCAAAAAAAAAAAAGAAAATGCTCTTGAGAAATAAAAATGGAGAATGCTTTATTAATTTAGAAAATACTGTTAAAATATGTAAATTGATTAGGGAATAAAATCACTTTAGTGGCTTTCTTTGCTTTTAAGACAGCATCTCATGTAGCCCAGGCTGGCCTCAAACTCAGTATGTAGCCAAGGATGAACTCCTAATCCTCCTGCCTCCATTTCCCAAACACTTGGATTACAGAAATGCACCACTGTGCCTGGGTTATGGGGTACTGAGGATTGAACTCTGGATTTCATGCGTGTTAAGCAAGCACTGTACCAATTGAGCTACTTACAGGCAGACTCTAGTAGAAAGGGAGTCTATTTCAGAAACTATTTGTCAATGAAAAATTCTCAGCAGTCATTTTACGTTTAAATCAAGTCTTCATAGTTAAAGTGGCAGATTCTGGGGGTGTACTAGGGGTGCCTTGTGGGTCCTTTGCTACCCAACATACTATTTCCACTCCAGCAGAATGAGGCCACAGCAGCAGACAGAAAGAGCTGTTTCCCAACGCCATTATCTACTCTGGCTCTTTAGTGCTCTTGTGCCCACGGCCACAGCCACATGCTGCTGGTCCGAACTCCATGTTTGCATTGGCGCAGGTGCTGGGAAAGTCTATGGGAGGGTGCTTCTACCCCAGCTCAATGAGTTTAGATAAGACATGGCCCTTCCTACGGAAAAATGTCATCACCCTCTTTCCACCAGAGCTCCAAGCAATGGTAGAAGTTCTGTCCTATGGGCCTGACTGTCTCTTGCGAAAACTGAGCTTTGGAAATAATATTTACTTAATGGTCAGTTCTTCTATGGAAAACACAGCAAAGACATTTGGAAACACAAATACTAGCATCTTTCCTCTGCAGACAAGGAAGAGAGGGGCAAGCCAGGTTGGATGCAGGGCATGGTGGTGCAAGCCCAGCAATTCCAGTACTAGGAAGAACAGCCAGGAGGATCTCTTCAAGGTCAAGGCCAGCCTGGGCTACAGAGTAAGATTCTGTGCCAAGCAAACAAACAAACAAAATGAAGAAGGTGGATCGAAGGGCATCACTGGAGGACTGCCAGGAAATACTGTGGTTGCTGGGCCTTCTTAGTTGCCACTAAGTCATGATGCCAGTCACTGTATAGAGCTAGCTCACACTGCCTGGGCATTCATGTGAGGAAACCACAATGGCTACTGTTCTCCTTTGAGTGATGAGAAGTAACAGTGACCTCGTACACAGTCCAGGACACGAGGTCCTGCTGTGTGGCCGGGGATGCTGCACTGATGGCCCAGGTGAGCGAGAGTGCCACCTACTTAACATACGCAGTGTTTAAAACAAACGTGTGTGCCTTACAAGCACAAGGGCCTGAGTTTGAGCAGAGAGAGAAATATATGGTGGTGCATGCCTGTAACCCTGTCACTGGGGACGCAGAGACAACTGTATCCCTGGAGCTCACTGAATGGCCACCCTTGTCAGCTGCAGGCCAGGGAGACCCTGTCTCAAAAAAAAAAGAAAAAAGAAAAAAGAAAAAGATGATGCCTACGAAACACCACCAATAGTTCACTTCTGACCTCAAATGTGTGTGTGCACACCACCTTACACAATGCACCCCCTTCCACTCGCAAAGAATTGGAAAAGAAAGGAGAGGAGCTGGGGAGGAGGGTTTGGAGCAACGTGGCTGCGTGTGTGCTCATCTTACTCATGGGAGACATATCTATCGCAAGACATGTCTGCCTAGTCCGTAACTAACTGTTAGGCTAACCACACAGAAGGACAAAGGTGGGTAAGCAAGACAACTCAGTAGGCAAAGCACTTGGATCCAAGTCTTATAACCTGACTTCAGCCCCGGGATCCACATGGTAGAGAGAACTGACTCACAAAAATTGTCCCCTGAAACTCATGAGCACACACATGCACACACATGTGTGCACACACGCGCGCGCACACACACACATGCAAGCACACATACACAAGCACATGCATGTGCACACACACATGCACGTGCACACACACACACGCTTGTGCACACACATATACACGCACACCAAGTAAATGCTTGTGTGTGTGTATGTGTTTTAAAGAGCAAAGGTGACCCGATGCTGTGCCTGATGTAGCCTCCCTCCCACTGTGCCCTTTGCTACTCCACACTTCTGCTTTCATTCACGCTCAGCTAGGCCTGGGGACCATAGCCTCCTGTCACCCTCCCCCAGCTCCAGGCAATGACATCAACCCCCACTGGATGCTGTCAGGTCAAGACAAGTAAAAAGTAAGAGGTATAATCCTTCCTATTGAAGATGGCAGAAGAGTCCACTTCCCTTTCCATGAGGGGTGACGGCAGCCCGTCTTCATGGGGACTGTCTTCTGTAGAATGCAACATCTCTTCGAGGACTAGGCAGGCTTAGCCAGTTGTGAGAACCAGGAATGTTTGTCAGGGTCCTGGACCCTCTCTGGAGACACAGACGGAAGGCCACTGGCCACAGTTCTGGGGTTCTGTAGGAAGCAAGACTTGACTTTAGGAGCATCTGCTCCAAGGCACCACACCCTCCAGTAGGAAGACAGGAAGCTTGCCCTGCCTCTGGATGAAGTCTTGTGAGTGATGGACTCCTTTCTATCTGGGTGCTTCTTAGCAGCCAGGTTCCTGCATCATCTGGTTCCTTGGTAACCAGAGCCTTATCTGCTACTGCAGAGGTTTCCGGTGTGTGTGTGTGTGTGTGTGTGTGTGTGTGTGTGTGTGTTAATTTCAGGTCTAGTTCCAACAGCGCTCCCTGTTGGTCGGCTGCACTCATGACTCCCGACATCACCTCCTCTCGCCTGTCTCATCTACGGCACCATTGAAAGTGAGTTCTTTTCTTCTGTTCAAACATCTGTTCAAGCCCTCCCAGAGAGCTGCTTTCTAAGGCTTGCCTTCCCAGTGAGTGCACAATCCCATTCAAGTCACCTGCCTCCTCTTTACAACACCCGTCGTCTCCTGTCCCCTGGTCCAACACAGTGAGCTCACTTCTGTCCCCTGAGCCCAGAGGCTCAGTCCCCCACACAGTGGGATGCTTGCCTCTCTGCAACAACATCATCACACATACCTGGGCCCAGCAGGAAGTTCTGTGACTACCTCCTTGCTCTGCCCCCACCTCATCCTTCTGCACCATCCTATCTCAACGTGACACTATTAACATACGGCATGAAACTGTATTCCCATAGAAGGAAATCCCACTGACAGCCCTTGGCTGTGAGGCAGATTTTCGTCCTCTGCAAAACATTTTCACCTACTTGCACCCTGAAGGCTGTCTCATTTGCTACAACTCGTTAAAACACATCAAAATGTCATCGTTGGTGTGTGAGAACAGACAGCTTCTGAGGGGCTGGTCTTGTTCTGGAGAACTTGAACATGAAGTTAAGATGGGGAGGAATTATGCAATTTCTGTTTCCTCTTTCTTTCTTTTCCTCTTTCCTTCATTCCTCCTTCCCTCCCCACTTTCTGCTTGGTCTCTAGCCCAGGCTATGTAACTTTAGATTTCCACTGCTCCTGCCCCACCACCCAAGTACTGGCATTACAGTCATGTACCACCATGCCTGTTTCTGAGGTGTTGAGAATCAAACCCAGATCCTCCTGCACACTAGACATGTACTCTGTCAGTGGGGCAATAGTCTCAGCCCTATTTCTGGTAAATTAGCTTGACCGGGCTCTTGAGAGCACTGTGAAATAGAAATAATCTTCATCTCAGCCAGCCAGCCAGTTGGCATTTCCCAGTGGCTACCTTAGACCTGGAAACACTGTCATAGACTCTGCTAGCTGCTCATGTGCCATTGTCCTGGTTCCAGGAAGAGAGGTTGTGCCAGACAACGCCAGGGTCTGCTTCTGAGATGCCTAGAAGCTTTGCTCAAGCCACTGAGAGCCTGTGAGATCCTGATGGAGAGTTTGATGTGATTAGGGACATTATGAGGGTAAGGTCTGGAGGGGAGATTTATAACCCCCCCTTTCAGCTTACCTGTCTTAGGGCTAAACCACCAGGACCTCATGCTTCTGTAGGGAGAGAGGGAAAGAGAAGGAGAGAGACAGAGAGACAGAGAGGCAGAGAGAGAGGGGGGGGGGAGGGAGGGAGGGAGAGGGAGAGAGAGAGTGTATGAGTGTGTGTGTGTAGGCCAAAAGTCAACTTCAGATGTCATAAACCTTGTTGTTATTATTTCTTTATCTGTATGGTGCTTTGCCTGCAGTTTGTGTAGTGATTTATTATTTATGATTTAATAAAGATTGCCTGAAGTATCAGAAAGCAAAGCCAGCCACACTAGTTAGCTGTAGAAGCTAGGCAGTGGTGGCACACACCTTTAATCCCGGGAATCAGGAGACAGCAGATGGATCTCTCTGAGTTCAAGGCCACCCTGGCCTATACTAGAATAAAGAGTACAGAGCTCACACCTTTGATCATCCCAGTACTAGAGAGGTAGAGACAGGAGGATTTGGCTTGGTGGAGAAAGGAATATAAGGAGGAGGAGGCAGGAATACAGAGCCTTTTGTCTCTGAGGATTCGTGGAGACAAAATTACCATTTCGACTGGGTAGAGGTAAGATCTACTGGCCTGGTTACGTTGCTTCTCTGATCTTCAACATGAAGCTTGAACCCTAATATCAGTCTCTGGGTCTTTTATTTTTCATGCTACATGTATGTATATGTACCACATGTTTGCAGTACTTACAGAAGCCAGAGGAAGGGATTGGGTTACCTAGAACTGTAATTTGTAAACTACTATGTGAGTGCTGGGAATTGAACTTGTGGAAGAGCAGTCAGATGGCTCTTAGATGAGCCATCTCTCCAGCACTCATCCCATTGCGTGGGAGTTAATATTCACTAGACTCAGTACAGGTTAAGTGAAGTTTATTCAGGGAGAATGCACTTACACGGGAGGCAGGTGACCACTGCAGGTTCCAGCTCCAAGGATCCACCCAGGCTGTCCTCTGTGACCCAACTGGAAGCCAGAGAGTGCACTGGGGTCTGGGAGCCCAGATCTACTCCTATCCTCCATTACCACATCCTCACTTGTGACCACGCCCAAACAGGTGTGGTCAGTGCTACAGGTGTGGGCTGGGTGGATATCTCACTACACTCATGCCTTGTTCTTTTTGGTTTGCTTTTTTTGTTGTTCTTTTTGGAGACAGGGTTTCTTTGTGTAATAGCCTTGGCTATCCTGGAACTCACTTTGTAGACCAGTTTAGCCTGGAACTCACAGAGATCCTCCTGCCTCTGCCTCCTGAGTGCTGGGTTTATAGGTGTGTGCCACCACTGCTGAAGTACCTTGTTCCTTTGAGATAGCATCTCTCTTTGTCCTAGAGCTATCCCCAAGACACCCACCTGTTGCCACTTTCTCTGTGCTTGGATCACAAGTGGATGCTACTATGCCCAGCTTTTCCATGTAGATCCTGGAGGTTCAAACCAGGGTCCTTGTGAGTGTACAGTAAGCATTTTCTCACCCAAGGCAATCCCCCCCATCCCCCGCCTTATAGAGATGGCTTGGTAGAGATGTAACCTCATATTTGTGTCAGAACTCTTTCTTTGGCAACTGTGACTGTCAAATAAGTGAGCATTTAGAACACAGTGTTCCACAGACTTTAGGAAGGCCTGCCATAGAAGAGGCTGCTGAGACCTGACGGAAGTCAGGATGGGATTGTGTTCACAAGAGACCAGGGAGCTCTGTCTGCAGGGTAACGCTGTCATTCATCCAGGTCTATCCAATCACAAGGCTCTGCCACTCTCTACTCTGGCTCTAGACACCCCAACCACCCCCTGAACCAATTTGGTTGCTTGCTATCCTTCCCCATGAAGCATCTCTGCCTGCCCTTCAGAGATTCCTTAGTGCATCAAACAGAGGTACCTCCCCACTCTGCTCAGACTTAGCCGTGCTCCAGAGATGCTCATGGTTCCTAGGAACCCGAATGGGCAGAGGTCTCCCTTAGTATTTGCCATTTGGGAGGGCCCGATCTCATTTCACAGGGTGGGGCCCGGCAAGCGGGTGGAGGCCAGGGTGAGGGAGGCCAGGGTGAGGACCTCTGGTTCTTCCTCTTTGCTGGTCACTCTCACCTTGCCTCTCAATCTCCCTCTGCCAGGCTGTGGAGAAGCAGTAATGCCTTACCTGCACCGGTCTCTGAGGCCCCAGCCACACCCAGCGCCCAGGGATGCCCGGACTGTCCACTCCTCAGGTCAGAGCTTTGAGGAGCTGAGGCAGGGCTGCCTGCAGTCCAGCACCTTGTTTGAGGATGCTGACTTCCCTGCCAGCAACAGCTCCCTGTTCTACAGCGAGAGGCCCCAGGTCCCCTTTGTGTGGAAACGGCCAGGGGTGAGTAGGATGAGGAGGAGGAAGAGAAACTGAGATAGGACTGGGAGGGTTAGGGATAAGGGGAGGGGAGCTGGAGAGGTGGGGAAGAGTCACTCATTGTAAGACCACTTTCTGTCCTTTGTGGAAGGCTCCCTGGTGGTGTGCTGACTGGAGACACCTTCAGCTAGTCCCTAGGGTATCTGGCCACAACTTTTGGCCTCCAGCTCCGAGTCCCACTGTGTCTGGGGACATAGAGAGAAAAGGTCTCATCTATGACCTGTGAGCAGGATCAGAGCTTTAGCCCATGGACAAGTCTCTGGTGACTTGGTCAATCAGAACCCTGAGTCAAACTAGCCGGGATGGAAGATGAGGGGTGTCAGCTGAGATGTGTGTAATGTACTGAGATGGCCAGCCCTGCTCTGAGGCTGTTGGCCCAGATCTGAGGATGGACTACAGAGATCGGTGGATGTTACTACAAGGTCTTAGCAAGTATGTGATGTCTGGACCCTAGTTAAAGCAGGTCTACATTTCCAAAGCAACACACACCTCTCCCAGAGAGACAAGAGAGGTGGGTGCCACCCCACCTCCAATGTCCTTAGGAGGCACCAGCTGGTACTCGAGACACAAGGTCAATATTTGCAGCACCTGGTTGGTAGGGGCGCTCCCTGTGACCCAGAGTCATGTGGCTCCACCCTCTGGGTGGGAACAGATGTTGTGTGTGCAGGGAGAGGCAGTGCACTGGCTGCCTCCTCACCTAGAGATGGCTGGGGTAGGTCTGGGTCAGCATACAGCTGTCCTCGGTAAAGAACACCTTTTCACTGTTGGCATTGCTGTGTGCCACTCCATCACCAGTGTCTCAGAATCTCATCTTGAAATTTTATTTGTTTATCCATGTTTATTACATTTGCTTGTGTGTGTGTGTGTGTGTGTGTGTGTGTGTGTGTGTGTGTGTGTGTACGCGAATGCCACAATGGTCATGTGGGGGTCAGAAGACAACTTGTGGGAACAGTTTCTCTCCTTTCACTTTGTGGGTCCCCGGGATCAAATTCAGGCTATCAGCCTTGGCAGCAAGTACCTTTGCCTGCTGGGCCTTCTCACCAGCCCTTATTTTGTTTACTCTGCCTGTGGGCTTGAACATGCCATAGCAAATGTGTGGAAGTCAGGGGACAGCTCTTGTGAGTCTGTTTTCCTTGCTTCCTTGTGGGATCAGGGGGTCAGACTCGGGTCCTCGGGTCTAAGTGCAAGTGCCTCTACCTACTGTGCCATCTTGCCAGCCTCAGATCTCACCTTACTCACATAACCGCCTCCTCCCATTGCACGTCATCCAAATAACGTCAGCGTGCTAAGTGTATGACATGTCTAACTTTTAGAAAATGCCTACACAAGAAAGACACCAGGGCTCCTGGGGGTATTATTTATAAAGTAGTGAGGTTGTCCCGGTTTGCTTCCTTCTGCTCTTATAAACACCGTAACCAGAAGCAACCTGGGGAGGAAAGGTTTTATTCACCTGATGTCTTATAGTCCGTCATAAATGGAAGTCAGACGGGGCTCAAGGTAGGAACCTGGAGTCAGGAACTGAAGCAAAGATTATGACGGGAGCACTCTCACTGGTTTGCTCCCTATGGCTTGCTCGGTTACCTGTCTTACACAACCCAAGACCACCTGCCCAAGGGGACACCTACCACAATGGCCTTTACCTTCCCACATCAATTATTAATTTAAAAAATGCCCCATAGACTTGCCTATCACCAAATTGATGGAGGCAGTTCCTCAATTGAAGTTCCCTCTTCTACAATGACCCTAGCTTGTACTGAGTTGATAAAAATTAACCAATACTTACTGCTATCTCCTGTCCTGGACGATGTGCAGTTTATAAGTAAATATGCTTATTTTAGATTGTGTATGTATTGTGTACACACATAGGCATTTGTGTGCACATCTGCATGTACACATGTATTCACATGTATGCACATGTGTCTGTGTACACAGATGGTACTGGCCTCCATCAGTGAGGCAATGGTCCTCATGGAAGGATGCAGTAATGAGTCCTATTGTGGTATCTTATGTGTGGGGAACATAAAAGAGCAGTCAGTGGCCCTGGTAAAGCTAGTGAAGGCTCCGGGGATCCCTCTCTGGGCACTTGAAAGCCATTTTAAGTTAGTTTGATTCTTTGCATGTGGTCAATGGCAGTAAAGGTAGATACTTGGGCGGTGTGGGTGAATAAGTAGACTGCTCTGCTATGGAAGAAAATGGCCATTTCTAATGTGAAAAATTACAGGTCCTAAGACACAGAGAAGTGACCTCTGATGGCACTTTGGTAACCCTCGGGTCTTCTTGGGCTTGTTTCCAACCCTCAGGACAAGGATAAATGGGAACATGACTGCTGCCCAAGCTGTGTGTGCATTTCATCCAGTGGTGTGAGCAGCTGTCTGGGCTATGGGCTACAGATGCATTTCACTCAGTGTTGAGCAACTTCCCAGGCTGTGGGTGCATTGCATTCAGTGGTGGGCAGCTTCCGGGTCCATGGGCTGCAGGTGCAGTTCACTCAGTCCTGGGAATTGCTGGTAATCAAGATCTTGGGAAATCATTCTTGAGGAGCTGATGCCTCCTCCTAGGGTAGTCACAGTTTGACCTGGTCACTTGTGGTCCTAGGCAGCTTTCCCTTCCATCTCAGGACGCCACTCCTGTGCTGCCTGATGAGGAAAGGTTGGAAGTACTTGTTCTAGAAGCTTCTGGGAGCAGACTTACTGGAGCTGTGTGTGGGGAGAGGGAACTCAAAACCAGTGTGACATCAGAGGTGGTGGGCTGTTAGGCTCACTCTCTGCTGAGGTGGCCCAGAGCTGGATGCCCTGGATGGAAGGGAGTCCGGGGAGAGGAGGAAGAGAAAGGAACCCAGTGGTGGCAGGAGTAGGAGGGGCCATACCAGGCTGGGAAGTAAACAGACCTCTGCTTGGGAGGGGACAGCAGATGGGGACAACACTGTGCCTTGCTGTGTAGACAAGGCCACACAGCCGCCCTGAGACACAAGGATGGAGGAGCTGTTCTGCCTCACTGTCTGCCCTGGGCATGGTGGACGGGGTCAGTTAATGGACAGACTCCAAGGCTGCTGGGGCCGCGTGCGGGTACAAAAGGTTGTGCAGGGTCTCGGGGAGAAGCTGGCCTCCCGTGTCCTTCCTCTGCCAGGCCTGAGCTTCTGGCACAGGCAACAGCACAGCCTGTCCCAGAACCCTCGCCCTAAGGTCACACGAACATTTTAGAAACAAATAAAGGCACACAGTCCTCCCTGGGCAGGTGATCTGGGAGACTGCTCTCCCCCAAGACTGCTACATCTTGGGGGCCTCATGAAAAACTACCAGCTTTCTCTTCAGCCCTTGGCCTTAGTAGACTCCCCACTCCCACCGTCTCCCTGGGATCTGAGCCCAGGGAGGAAGCAGGCAACTTGGGCTGCTAGGAGGAGTGGCAGCTGGAGCTACCCCAAGTGTCAAGTCAGACTCTGGGGACACTCTCCCCCAGCCCTGCTCCTCCTTTGTTCTGCTTCCTTTCTGGTGTCACCCTGACTGATCCAGTTAAAGTAGTCCTTCCCTGAAGCCTCTGGCTCTGCTCTTCCCTCTTCTGGACCTCCACAGGAAGCCTCCTGCCGATGCTCAGGGCTCTGCCCACCTTAGCCTCCCCTAGGCCTCCTGGTCCCACACCGGCACTCTCCAGCCCTGTCCAGATAGCTGACTGAAGTCCCTTGCAGAGACTTTCTCTCTTACTTGTGCTGGGCCTGAAGTGCCAGGGGCAGAGCCCGACACTTGGAGAGGCAGAAGAGAGCACAAAGAGTGTAAGTTCAAGGCCAGGCTAGGCTACATAGTGAGGCCCTGTCTCAAAAATCCCAAGGAAGGAAGGAAGAAAGGAAGGAAGATTGGGATGGGAATACGAAGAGAAAGAAATCAAGACCTGTAGGACAAGTTGAGGCGCACTGAGTATGGTAGCAGATTTACTCCAGGGAATAACACAAATTCTCCAACTCTCACTGCCCAGAGACAGTGTTCCTAAATGGCAGGGCCTGGGTTTCTGGGGGAGGAAAGAATAAAAAGAATGGACAGGAAGCAGCAGTGTGTGGCTGCCCAAGGACAGCAGCCTATGGGGTGGGTGGTCCTAGTGACTGTTGTGAAGAAGTGAGATGATCCCAACTACCAGCAGACTCAGACAGAAGGATCCCAAGTTCAAGGCTGACCTGGACTACACTGGAGAGTGCAAGGCCAGCTTGGGCAGCTTAGTAAAACGTGTCTCAAAATAAAATTAAACTAAATTAAAATGGGATGTAGGGCACTTGCTGAGCATGCTGAAACCCTGGGATCGATCCTCAACACAGGTGGGGGAGCAGAAATGGTTGATCAAAAAAAGGTTCCCACTGGAGCTATTTATTACCTCTGCCATGTCAGAGCTCTGCTGCGCTGTTGCAAAGTAACCAGGTGACTGCAATCACATGCTTCGTGTCATATAACTTCATTCTTAAGAAATTTGAAGCCCCTTTTCAAATATACACAGTTTAGATGCTTGTGGTGGTGTATGCTTTTAATTCTAGCATCAGGGAGGCAGTGGCAAGAGAATCTCTGTAAGTTCGAGGTTAACCTGGTCTACATAGTAAGTTCCAGGACAGCTAAAACTACATAGTGAGACCCTGTTTCAACACAAAACAAACACACAAACAAAAAAAGCAACCCACATGTTTTATATAATTGCTTTTACCTTTTAATGTTTTATATAGAACTTTCCATATTAGGTTTCTATGTGTTAATGTTTGTAGTAATACACATAAAATATATACAATTACATAAAATCCCTAATAGGATAATATGTAACAAAGTATAATATAGCACATGTAGATAAAATTAGGAGTGGCATGCAGACATCCCTCTAGATGTGATGCCGATATAGAAAATGTATTGGGAAAAAGAAAGCAGCTGGGTAGGGTGTAGGGATGCCTGCCTGAGGTGCTGATCACGTGCTCATTGAGTGATGAAGAGTTCAAAGCCCAAACCTGGCAGTTCTTGGGGTAAGGGACTACACAGAACCAGCCTGTGCCTGGCCACACACTGAGACTTGGTATGTGACTGACGTCCCACTTTCTCATTAGATTCAGTGTGAGTTTCTGCAGAGGAAGGTGCTGGTGCCCGGCTGTCCCCTGGGCTGAGCTGTGGATGGACGAAGCTGACTCCAGGGAGGTCAGAGCATAAATCCTTGGCAGCTTTTGCATCCTCCTGGCCTTCCACGAGAATCTTCCTCCCTGAGGGACAGGGACTGCCTTTCTCTCTGCTAGGGCTGCTATGCTTTGGGTCTTTCTCTAAGATACTCTCACTCCTTCAGGAAATTGTGGAAAACCCAGAATTCATTCTTGGAGGAGCCACCAGGACTGATATCTGTCAAGGGGAACTGGGTAAGTAGAGAGGAGGGGGCATGACAAGGGATCACACTCTACGTGCCATGGAGTCAGAGCAGCACAGGCCCCTGAGAATCAGACCCCAGGGCTGGACAAAACAAGGCCACCACCCTGTCCACTGTCCCTAGTCTTCAGCTGCCTTCCCTGTGGGGAATCCAGTAGCCTCCCCATCTCTGGCACTCCTGCTTTTCTGGTACCACTGTTCTTGGGCTCCAGGCCTGTCCAGAAGTTCTCAGAGAGCTGAACCTCCCCTAAAAGCTGCACCTAATTCAGAGGCTCCTAACCCTTCGACTCCTCACTGGTGGTTCATGGTTTCATAGCTCACTGATGCCTACACTGTGAACCTATTCACCTGTCAGATACTTTCCCTAAGATTGCACACTTTTGTTCTTCCTCTTCCCAGACACCTCCCCATGGCTGCATATGAGTAAACTGAGGCAAGGGAACCAAGCAATATGTCCAAGGTCATGAATGATGAATGGGCAATCAGATTGCAAAACTGTTTTGGCTACAGAAACCATGCTTTTAGCCATTACACTGCAGGAGCTAGCTTTCATGCTCACACCATCTTACTCCAACAAAGGATCCTGGTAGACCTCACAGCAGCTAAATCAGTCCAGTTCAGTAAGCGTAAAACTTACTCTTACTGAATATTTGAAAAACAAACACATACAGAATCTTCTAAAGAAGGAAGTATGGCTTGTGTAGATTGAGCTAATCAGATCTCAGGCTGTCACTGTGATCCTTGTGGTTAGAACAGATCATCTGGAATCTCAATGAAAACCTGAATTGTCTTCACACAGAATCCAAAAGCCAGCTGTCCAAACTGGTGATAGTAAACTAGATTGAGAAAGATAGATAGACCATAGATAGATAGATAGATAGATAGATAGATAGATAGATAGATAGAATATAGATATGTAGATGATAGATTGAAGACAGATAATATAAATATAAAAGATAGTCAAGAGCCGGGCAGTGGTGGCGCACGCCTTTAATCCCAGCACTCGGGAGGCAGAGGCAGGCGGATCTCTGTGAGTTCGAGACCAGGCTGGACCGATAGCCTCCGAAACAATACAGAGAAACCCTGTCTCGTAAAAACCAAAAAAAAAAAAAAGATCGTCAATATGTAAGTAGATAGATATATGATAAGTGATAGATAACAAATAGATGATAGATAATAGATATATATGATTGATATATGGATAGATCATAAAAATCAATAGATCACATATAAATAGATGTACAAATATGCTATCTGATTGGCAGATGAGAGAGTACAAATGATAGATAGATGATGGATGGTCAATGGATGGATGGATAGAAAAATGGTGGATGGGTAGATGATATATGGATAGATTAGTGATGAATGGATAACAGACAAATGGATAGGCAGATGAATGGTAGATGGATGGATGAGTGGTAGATGAGTAAATGATATGTAAATGATTCATAGATGGATGGATGCATAATGGATGGATGGGTTGATGGATGGATAGAAGATTAGTACAAGTTCAAGACCAGTCTAGGCTACATACTGAGGTCCAGGCCAGCCTGGACTACAGAATGAAATTCTGTCATAAAAGACCAGGAAGGGAAGGAAGGGAGGAATAAAGGAAGGAAGGAGGGAAGGAGGGGAGGAAGGAAGGAAGAGGGGGGAATTAAGGAAGGGAGAAAGTGAGGTAAAGGAGCCTCCTTGTAGCTGTTGCTGCTCACAGCTGAACCAAGCCTGGTCTAGGAGAGGCAAGCTCAGGATTGCAATAGGTGCCTCTGGCTTGTTTCCTAGACCCTTTCCCCATGCAGTACTCCAGAGCCACTTGACACATCATGCAGTCCTGGTTCTCTGGGACCTTATGAAAATGAGATGCAACCAGTCAGCAAATACTGCCACAGAATCCATGCAGCAGCCACAGAGCATGACAGAAAGCAGACTGGACAGGTAGAGGGGACAGAAGTATTTGCTGTCACTCCACTGTTTTCAGCAAAGCAGAAGTGTGTCTACACACCCCTGTACAGGCATTGCCTTTTCTTGACTCCTGAAAACCAGTGGCAAAAAGTATGACACCTGTGTGACTTCCACTTTCCAGGAGACTGCTGGCTTCTGGCGGCCATTGCCTCCCTCACCCTCAATCAGAAAGCACTGGCCAGGGTGGTTCCCCAGGATCAAGACTTTGGCTCTGGCTATGCGGGGATATTTCACTTCCAGGTAAGAGAGGTCTGAGCCCCTGGGTTTGTTTGTGGGGGGAGGAGGCCCAGGAGATACTGTGTACAGTTTTGTACTGTTGACAACTCTGGGAGCTGTGTGATGGTGTGCATGAGTCATGGTACCAAACCATGTGGGACTCTTCTGAGGGGATTTCCAGAGGCAGCAAGCAGCAGGGAAGGAAAAGCATATAATATCCTCAGAAGAACAGGGTTGCTCCCCTGGGGAGCCAGGGCGCTTCTCAGAAGCAGAGTGGCTCCCCTACTGAGGAATTGTAGATAAGGAGATGTTGGAGGCTTTCAAACATAAAACTGAGGAAATGGCCCTGGAAGCCATGAGCTTGTGTGGTAGCTGACAGTGAGGCTTGTCCCAGGGGTCTGATATCCTGTTGTCCTTCCTCATGCTTCCTCTGCCTATCTCTCTCCACCTAGGTAAACACACATGTAATACACAGACAAGCACAATGTTCATATGTGCATACACTCACATATGTATATACTCACACACGTGTGCAAACAAAAACACACAGGCACTCACCTGCCTGTGCAAACATACACATTCTTCTATACCTGCAGGCAATGCACACTCTCACATATCACACCAGTGGGCTCACACACAGTACACCCACATAGGTGTGCCAACTCAAATATGTACACACATATGCACACATATATCCATTACCCCGCATATTCACTATACACCCACCCACATTCACACATGTGTTCACCTACTGTTCTCGTTTCTTTCTGTCTCTGTGGAGAGTAACTTAGAGGAGGACAGGGTTTATTCGGCTTATACTTTTAGGTCACAGTTCATCACTGAGGGGACGTCAGGGCAGGAACTCAAGCAGAAACCATGGGGCAATGCTCCTTACAGTTTGCTCACTAGTTCATGCAAGCTTTCTTATATAGCGCAGGACTATCTGTGGTGTCACCCACAGTGAGCCAAGCTCTCCCACATCAGTCAAACATAATCTCTCAGACCCAGCCACAGGTCAACCCAACCTGGGCAGTTCCTCAGTTGGTATGCCCTTAGATGACTCCAAACTGTGTCAAGTTAACAGTTGATGCTAACTAGCACTCGCACACAATGCACGTTTAAGTGTATACACACAGGTGTTAACCCACAACTGTACATGAATACACATCACATGCATGTACATGGGCCCATTCATGTTCATAAATATATGCAAGTCTATTGGTACTCATGCCCATAAATGCATATGTTCACACGCGTGTAAACCCAAACAGATTCTCGGGTGCATTACACATATGCTCCTCACTTCTACATGCATGGCACATAGAAAAACCAAGTCCATACACACTCATGTTGCAGCTCCACCTTCAAGGGGGAACTATGTGGGTCGGAAACTGCGGGATAGTGAAAGGCCAAAATAAGGCAGGAGTGTACACAGAGACTAGGCTGTGTGTGAACAGAGCTGAGCCCACACGCCACCCTCCCCGCCCACCTACCCTGGAGTCTATGGAGAAGATGGATTAGCTCAGAGCACAGGTATGTATACTGTGGCTGCTCCATCCCCCACTTCCATGGTGACACCGTCCTGGAATTGATTTTCATGGTGGATGAAGGCCCAGTATATGGCTAAGTAGACAAATCCAGGTAGGCACTCTGCTATGATGCCCAGATGGTCTTGTCAGGACATCCATGTGGCCCTGCATGGCATCAGATAGGAATTTCCCTGGAGCAAATGGGCAGTGTGCTCGGAGGGAAGAACCAGGATGTAAGCATTTACCACTGAGCCCATACCTCCTTGTGACTCACCGTTGTCACCTCATCCCGCCCTGGTCACTAGTTCTGGCAGCACAGTGAGTGGCTGGATGTCGTGATCGATGACCGCCTGCCCACCTTCAGGGACCGTCTGGTCTTCCTCCACTCTGCTGACCATAATGAGTTCTGGAGTGCACTGCTGGAGAAAGCCTACGCCAAGTGAGTGGGGCTCCCTCCTGCTGCTCCTGGAAGCCTGGGCTCATCCTCTCAGGGACATCTGGTGGAGAAACTGGGGTGCAGTTAGTAGGGAAGAGTGGTTGCTACCTGTCAGGGACTTGGACCACTAGGCCATTTTCATGCCATGGCCTACACATTTCCAGCCTCAAGCATAGGTAGCCTCATGTCTCCTCCGTCTTCCTGAATAACTGATCTAGGACAATGGTTCTTCAGGTCTTATACCAGGGCTTGCCACAACTCAGGTATGAGGCTTTAAACCCTGTAAGTGGAAAGTCAGAAACTGTCCCCGACAAGCGCTCCTTTCCTTCCTTTTAAAACTTGTTATGAAATGTTCATGATATAAAATTTACCATTTTTATATTTTGAGAGCATAGTTCCATGGCATTAACACACTTATCTGTCATGGCACCACCATGCACCTATTTTCAGAACTGTTCACCTTGCAAAACTATAACCACAGTCCCTGACAGACACTGACTCTCCTGTCCCTCTCCTTCCAGCCCCCCCCCTTGTACTGCCCACTTCCTGTCTTTGTGATTGAACGAGTCCAGGAAATTCACATATGTGGAGTTAGCACATCTATTTCTAACCCTAGCCAGATGGTCCCAATTCCCTCATACCTCCAGTTACAGCCTGTGATTAGAAGGTCCAGTCACATCACAAATATATGAAAAAACCTCACTTGAGTGGGGGGACACAGTAGATGCCTTGCTCACCCCAGAAACACATGTCTGAGAGATTAAGGTACTGAACTCTGATAGACAAGGTCACATCTCACAGAGCACAGACAGACAATCCTGACGCAGTGACCCACACAGTGACTGAGCAATTGTCGAGACAGAGGGCAGATAGGGAAAAGCCAAATGCTAGCTGTTGGAAGGCAAGATTACCCACCAGTGTGGAATGGCCTACAGCATACAGCATATGCTGGTGGAGGGAATTGGAGCACAGGGCGTACTTTTGATGCTCCCATCAGAGGCAGTGATGAGAAGTGTATGTGTGTATGTGTAGATTATACACACAAATACAAAAGGCTAGGCTATCAAGAAAATGACTATAATCCCAGTGCTGTAGGGAGCAGAGATGGGAAGATTTCTGGGGTCTGCTGGCCATTAGCCGAGCTCCAGGTTCAGTGAAAGACCCTGTCTCGAGGAATAAGGAAGAGAGTGACATGCAAGGCCCTCCAGTGGCCTCTGTGTGTGCACATAGGCATATGCAGCTGTACACAAATGTGCATATACTCCACACCTACTCACATACATTCATACCTGAAAACTTTCAAGAAGAAGCTGGGCATGGTGATAAATACTTCAGCTCTGGGGAAACTGAGGCAAATGTAGATGAATAGAAACAGGTTAAATTAAGTTAAAAGAGCTAGAGGGACAAGCTAAGCTAAAGCTGAGCATTCACAATTAATAAGTCTCTGTGTCTTTATTTGGGAGTTGGTTGGTGGCCCAAAGAAAATTCCAACTACAAATCTCAGCACTTCGGAGACTGAGGCAAGAAAACAAACAAACAAACAAAAATAAACAAACAAGCAGTTTAAGCATATAAATACATGTTCACCAGGAAGACGGCAGGAGTGGTCTACAGACTCTAATCCCTTGAGGTGCCAGCCAGGGCTTTCCCCCGCTGCCCACCACTGCCTTTCCTTAGAGAGTCCAGCTTGTGCTCTGTGGACTGAGCAAACCCTCTTCCTGTTCCTCCACCCCATCAACCAATCCACTCTTCCATCTTTGCAGGCTTAATGGGAGTTATGAGGCACTAAAGGGGGGCAGCACCATGGAGGCCATGGAAGACTTCACTGGGGGTGTGGCCGAGACCTTCCAAATCAGAGAAGCACCAGAAGACTTCTACGATATTCTGGAGAAGGCCTTGCAGCGGGGTTCCTTGCTGGGCTGCTCCATAGATGTAAGTGGCTGGCCAGTCATCTAAGCACCAACAGATAGACGTGGCAGCCCAGAAGGGACTTGAGTATCTGGAGAGTGGTCATCTTTAATTAAAACCATCTTTAAAAAGTTGGTAGAACACTTGCCTGGCTTGCAGGCGGTCCTGGGGCCCAGCACTGTATTAAAACAGGCTGGTGAAACATACCTGTAACTCCCAGCACTCAGGAGATGGTGGCAGGAGGGTCAGAAATTAAAAGTCATCTTCCACTACATGACCTGAGGACAGGCTGGGATGCATGAGACCGTGTCAAACAAACAAGCAAACGTAAGGTTTTATTTAATGCTTGTTGGGTGGCAAAAGCAAAAACACCTGCTGCCAAGTAGAGCATCCCATGAGGTCTGAAAGCACAGCTGTCTGTCTCTCCCATCAGGTCCAGGGCTGCTTCCCCAGCATCACATCAACCAGGGCCCTGGCTGTCCTCCACACCAGTGCTGCCATGCTGGGGCACATCAGCAATGGAAGGCTGACTTCATCCCACTGAAGGGAAACCCTCTGGTGTGCTTTTATTAAATGTGCTCCTTTTTCTTTATGTACCATGAAAAAACAAAACCACCAGAGAAAAGGCTAACAGCATTTTCCTAATTCCTCTATATATAGGATACATATACAGGTATAATTTTATACCTAATGTTTTTGAAATCTATCTGAGTTTTTTCCCTTCTTTTTGGATTAACTATAAAGATCTAATTTTGTAAACAAATTATTTACTTACTTAAGCTCATGTTTTGTGATCAAATCACACATCACCAGGATACACCTCCCCTCTGTGTGACTATGAATACCATTCACTAATCTATTACTGGGGTGGCTACTGTCTGTTTGGGGACAGAAAAGTAAACTCGTTTCAATGGAAGGGGTTCCTCCCCTCACCCTGGGAAGAGATTGGTCTTGCTGTGTATCACTGACAAACCTATTAGGAGGTCCTACACCCCTAACTTCTAAGGCCTGCACACATGGCTGCCTTTGTGGAACTGAGGTCTGGGATGTGTGAGCTAGGCATAGGGCTGGGCCAGGGCTGACCCAGAAGAAGGGCTGGCTTAAAGGATGGATCTGACTCTGGTCTTCCTCTGTTCTAGATCCTGAATGCCTCTGAATCTGAAGCCCGCACACCTTTTGGTCTCATTAAGGGTCATGCCTACACTGTGACTGGACTCGACCAGGTAGAGGTGGGGCCCACTGCAGAGGACCAAGGTCGGGGAACAGGACAACCCTGGTCTTTAGATATGGTGTGCAGCAGAGAACAAGCCACCTAACAGCTAAGAGGAGAAATAGCAGGCAGGACCCAGAGAGGAGGCAGGTGACCCATGCACCAAACTCACCTTTTAGGAATTGCAACTGGTCTACCTTACATTTTATGGGGGTTTTGTTTTGTTTTGTTTGGGTTTTTTGTTTGTTTTTGTTTTTCAAGACTGGGTTTCTCTGTGTAACAGCCTTGGCTGTCCTGGAACTCGCTTTGTAGACCAGGCTGGCCTCAAACTCACAGAGATCTGCCTGCCTCTGCTTAAAGGCGTGCACCACCACCGCCTGGTTAGATTTTATGTTTATAAATTATTTCTTTCCCAATTCCATATCAGTCCTATAAAGCCAGGGTTTTACAGAGATATACAGCCATTATAACAACAAATTAATAAACATATATACATACATACACATGCACATTCATTTTATATATGTGTGTACATTTTTATATTTGCATGCTGATACGCATGTTCATTAATGTGCACATATGTATAGATTATGCATATTCACACATGTATTCATGTTTGTTATGTATAATACATATGCATGTTAAATTTATATGAGGATAAACACATGCACATATTTGTTATGCAATATGCACATTCATGTGCAATTATTATATGAATATATTGAGAGAGGCCTGTATAAGTATGTAAACCACTCTGACTTGTCTCCTGTAGCTCAAAGATTGTAAGAACACCCCTGGCATTGCTGTGGGCTAAGACTGAGAAAAAAAACAGCAGTGTAGTTCCTGGTTACTAGGCAGGAGATTCATGCCCCAGCCTCAGCAGGCAGCACAGACAGAGAGGCCTCCTTCCTTGACTTTTCATTTACTCTACTCTGCTCTTCAGGTGCAGACTGTTTGCTAAGCCTTCCAATTAAAATTTAGTCTGTCACATAAAAGTCAGAGACACAATCAGATTCTCCTTGAACCAAATATCTGGGTGCCCTGTGACCCTGTCAAGTTGACATGAAATTGACCACCTTGAATCCAATCCTTGGTAATCTAGTGTGGGAGCTGGCCCTCAGACACCTAGATCCCACACAGCACACCTCAGTTCTAGGAAGTGACTGTCTTAAAGGATAGGCTCTTGGACACATGGAGAAGAGAGGAGAGAACAGGTTAAGGCAGAAGACAAGAGAATAGAAGCTCCAACCTCCAGGTCAAGTCCAGCAAAGCCCCAGGGACTGGCATTGCCCGAATCCCCCACTGGATGGGTGTCCAGCCTTGTCTGTAGAGGACATGGCACCTTCAGCCTCTTCTCTCTGCAGTGTTTTAGGAGTAGAGTGTAGAAGAGGGGACTTCAACACCCCCAATACACTGCAGCCCCTGTATAATATGGGGGTGGACTCTGGGCTTCTTCAGGGTGTTAGTCACTTGTGTTTGTCTGTTCCTGTCTTATTGAGGATTCCTATTGCTGTGAGGAGACACCAGGACCACAGCAACTCTTATAAAGAAAACATTTAATTGGGGCTGGCTTACAGTTTCAGAGGTTTAGTCCATTATCATCATGGCAGCTTGCATGCAGACATGGTCCTGAAGAAAGAGCTGAGAGCTCTACATCTTGATCTGTAGGCAACAGGAAGCAAACTGAGACTGGGCATAGCTTGAGCATGGGAGACCTTAAAGCCCACCCTCACAGTGACACACTTCCTTCAACAAGTCCACACCTATTCCAGCAAAGCCACACCTCCTAATAGTGCCACTCCTTATGGGGGCCATTTTCTTTCAAGCCACCACAGTTCCCATCACACATGCTGAGACACATGCTCACTTGAGTAGGCAGGTGGATTTTAAGTTATATCTTCCCGAAATTCCCAACCTAGTGACTTGTCTTCATTCTGATCTACTTGCTTCTGCATTCTGTCCACGGACAAGGCGCTTGCTCATTTCTGAATGTGAAATTTCTTATAAGAGTTGGCTTGTATGATTACAGAGCTGTGGGCTCCTAAACTCTGAGGTTTGAGTTGTTTTGTTTGGCCTTGTCTGAGATAGAAACTCATGTACCCTAGGCTGGCCTTGAACTTGTCATACAGTCAAGGCTGATCTTGAACTTTTGATTCCCTGCTTCTACCACCCAAGTGCTGAAATTATGAGACTACAGGTGTGTGCCACCACACCTGGTTTATGTGGTGCTGGAGATGAAACTCGGGGCTTCATGCATGCTAGGCAAGCTCTACTAACTGAGCCACATCTCCAGCTTATTTGAATTGTTGTCACATGTCAAAATACAACTCTCATTCAGCATGTGATAATAAACTGATAGTTAAGATTTCTGGTTAGTTGATACCTCTTAACCTCTGAATCCTTTCTCAGAGTCTCCCTTTTCTACCAAGTCCTTCCTACTTGCTTCTTACTGGCTTAGGCTTACCCACACCATCACCAAGAATCTTCTTCTCTTGACCATAGCTGGAGAAGACTGAATGTGAAATGCAGAATTCTTCATTTGTTGTTGCTGCTTAAACTCCTAACACATAGGGTTACAGTCTAATTAAACTCCCAGCACATAGGATTACAATCTAATCGAACACTGGGACTATGTAGTAACTCCATGAACTTCTGAGGACTGCTATGCATCATTCCCTGGGCAGATGCTAAAGAGACACATGTACGGGACCTGGAAACTTTGGGGACCATAGCCTAATGGAAAGCTCACTCATGTGGAGATGAACCACTTTCCTATTAAATAGATTCACTTCCCAGATGCGGCATGGTCATTGTACAGAGGATGGTTCAGTATTCTTTTCAGAAAGGAAGTTCCAAGGGCTCATTAAGAATGGATGGCTCAGAGCTTAAGAGCACTAGCTGCTCTTCCAGAGGACCCAGGCTCAATTCCTAGCACCCACATGGTAGCTCACAACTGTCTGTAACTCCAGTTCCAGAGGATCCAACATCCTCACACAGACATATATGCCAAACATGCAGGCAAAATATCAATGCACATAAAATAAAAATAAACAAATCATTTTTTAAAAGTTTAAAGAAAAATGCTAGTACATACTTAAACAAAAGTCCAATCCACCTACCCAGTGGTAGCACACACCTTTAGTCCCAGAACTCAGGAGGCAGAGGCATGTGGATCTCTGAATCTGAGACCAGCATTCAAGGTCAGCCCGATCTACAGAGCAAGTTCCAGGACAGCCAGGGCTACACAGAGAAACCCTGACTCAAAACACACAAACAAAAAGAACGGATGAGTCAGGGACAGTGAAATAGCTTAGGAAATATAAAAGTATGTGCCATACAAACATAGCAAGTTGAGAAGCTGAGTTCAACTGCCAGCTCCCATGGTAGAAGGAGAAAACCAACTCTCAAGTGTTGTCCTCTGACCTTCACATATGCACTGTGATATTCCTCTGCTGGCACACACACCAAGAATAAAATAAAATGGACAACAGATGGATGAATCGTCTGGGGGTAGCATTGCACATCAGCAGCCCCAGCACCCTGTAACTCCAGCAATGGGAGGCTGACGCCAGCCTGAGTTACACAGAAAGGCTGAGATGGGTACGCAGCAAGACTAGGTACATAGTGAGACTCAAAGGAAAATTAATTTCTCACCAGGGTTAGTGGAGCAGGCTTAAAATCCCAGTACTTAGGAAGGTGAGATGGGGTATGAAAAATCGAGCTTGTACAGTATATCTTCAGTGTGTTTCCCTCAGGAATTTGAATGATACAGTCATACATAAAGAAGGACCCAGATCTCACAGAAGGTTAAAGTTAACTTCAGGCTCAATGCACCCCGTTTCCTTGACATTTTTCCTTTGAGGTTAACCTCCAAGGCCGGAAAGTCAAGCTCATCAGAGTCCGAAATCCTTGGGGCCAGGTGGAGTGGAACGGGCGTTGGAGTGACAGGTGAGTGGCTCCATCCCTTCTACGTAGCCAGCTCCACAAGTAGCCAGGCTGGCCTATGTAGACCTGTGAGAAACTGGCTTGCCCCGGAACTCCCGGTTTCTTCTCTTCAAGCCTTACTTAGAGCACATTCTATGTTAAACTTGATCCTGGATAAACAACTCTCAGGATATATCTTTCACTGCCACGTAATCATATTTGTGGATAGTTACTGCCATTGGGGTGTCAGGAAGGACTTTGACTCCAGTTACCGGCAACTCTGTGTGTGTGTGTGTGTGTGTGTGTGTGTGTGTGTGTGTGTGTGTGTGAGCGGGGTGGGTGAGTATGAGTATTTTGAGTCTGGGAATCCCTGAAACACTGCCAAACAGGTCAGGTCACTCTAAGGCTGTTTCTGATGGTCATTGATCACTGGCTAAAGTCCATGATCCAACAGAGCAACGGAAGTAGAACAGGAAACTGGCCCACTACTAGACTCTAATAATTTGGAAAGGCCAGCTTTCCAAGATGTCCCCATGTATCCCTTGGGCAGTGATACAGGTGACTGGGAAGTGAGAAAGAGCAGCCTCTCCACAGCCCTGCAAGGCTCTTGTCCTGCTGGTTCACGTTTGTCCTTCTCAGATCTCAAGGAGACTGACTAGGAAGGATTCAGACAAGGACAGCAAAGGAAGAGCAAGGTTGGTCTCCCTCTGCTGGTGAAAATGGGAAGAACTGAGACTGAGTGAAACCTAAATCAGTAAGACTGACATTAAAACTAGAATTAATATGAGGGCACCATGTTGTAGCCCTTTGTACCTTGCATCTGCAGAAGCAGACTATAAAAGGAAACTGCCATTTTCCCCTTCTGAAACTCAGGCTGAAGGAGAATCAAATACAGTGAGTGCAGTTTGAGATGGACAGAGGTTGTCTGCCTACAAAGCTTCCAGGGACTGTGGCCATTTTAGCCCCTTGATGTCCAACACTACTCATCAAAGGTATTGCTTAGCTGCCCATCATTGGGTGTGATCCATTTAGAAGAAAATGATTCAGTGACTCATAAAAGACCCTTAGTTCTCTCTTCTCTACTGCTGGGGCCCTCCCTCCCTGGATGCCATGAGCCTTGCCTAGCTGGACACAAAATAGATCTGCCACACAGTCACAGCACCACAGCAGAAGTGATGATATTTAAATGACAGTTAACCCTCTTTGCCAGAGGTTTCACCATTCACAGTTTCAATTAAATATGGTCAACTGAGGTCTGAAATATAGTATCACATGGAAAATTCTAGAAATAAGTATTAGTTATCTAGAATAATATTAACTGTCACATCATTCCTAGTGGTATGATGAAAATTTTGCACTATATGTACCACTGTGTTGCGGTCTATTGCAGTGTGTGTGTTCAAGTAACCTTATTCTAGTTAGTGATAACCCCAAGTATGAGAGTAATGACACTGGCCACCTAGACAGGTCAAAGAAATCAGAAAATGCACACTTCATGTGAAAATATAAAAGTGCTCAGCTTAATCAGGAAAGAAAAACCTTGTGTGCTGGGATTTCTAAGATCTACAAGATGATTAGAGTAGTAGATGATGGATGGATAGATGAATGGTTTGATGGATAGGTGATGGATGAATGGATGATGGATAAACTTATGCATAGATAATGGATGGATGATGGATGGATACATTAATGTATGGATGCATAGACATGGATGTATGGACAGATTGATAGATTATGGGTCAAAATGGGTGTATAGATGACAGATGGACATGTGGGTGGGTGAATGAATGAATAGCTAGATGACAGATGGATTGGTAGATGAGAGATGATGGACTGATGGGTGTTGATATTTAATAGGTGGATGGGTAGATAAATTAATGGATGAATAGATAGATGATGGTTGAGGAATTAGTATGTAAATGATGGATGAATAGATAATAGGTAGGTGAGTAGATAGATGATACATTAATGGATGGATACATGATGGATTGGTGGGTGATGTGCAAATGTGTATGGATGGACAGATGATAAATAAATGATGTAGATAGATGAGACAGATGATAGATAATAGATGGAAAAGTAGATAGATAATAGATAACACATTCACACAACTTTTGACACACTGTGTTGTGTGGACTCAACCACAGCAGACCCTTCTTGAGCTCCGTAACATAAATGAGGCACTTAGTATTTCAAATGACAACCACAAGAGTTAGAAGCACTACCCAAGTATCAGTTTATAAACCAGAAGGGATTTGGCCTGCTGCAGGCCACAGGCAGGATGTAAGGTAGGGACATGCATGACCGGTGACATCCAGCTGGGCTGCTGTGTTCAGGTCGTTGTGATTGTTCCATGATGACCTATGAAGGGACTGTCTACCAACAACACTTGAAAGTTCACTTTCTAACCACTGTCATGCTGGAGCCAGCAGTGAACTAGTCTGGGTCCAGTGAGACTCACTAACCAGGATATGATCCCTACATTATGTACATCTGGTTTGGTGTGACTCCAGGGAGATGGCCCTGCTCCCAGACTGAATTGTGGCCCTGATCTTCCAGCTCTCTTGAATGGCGCTCTGTGAACCTGGAGGAGCAGAAGCGCCTGGGTCACTGTGCTCTCGACGATGGGGAGTTTTGGTAATGTCATCCTTTGCATTTTTGCTTGCAATCAGGGCTCATGTATCCAACAACCACCCTCTTTTTCCCTTTCCTTCCTCTTCCCCTTCCCTATTCCCTCTTCCCTATTCCCTCTTCTCTCTCTCTTTCTCCCTTCTCCCTCCTTCTGGAGAGACCCCAGTGTCTCCCCTCCCCAGGAAGAGGGTTGACTGTACAAACAGCTGGTGCCATCGCGATGACGTTCTGATGATGTATCCTCCCCTCTGTCTCAGGATGGCATTCGAGGACTTCAAGGCTCATTTTGACAAAGTGGAGATCTGCAACCTCACACCTGATGCCCTGGAGGACAATGCCCTCCACAGGTGGGAGGTGACCGTCCACCAAGGAAGCTGGGTTCGTGGCTCCACAGCTGGTGGCTGCCGCAACTTCCTGGGTAGGTGTCCTCTCTGTCCTTCTGTCTCCTATTCCCATATCCAGTCTATCTGGGGACATGGAAGGGGCAGTCTGTGTGGAGCTGGACAGCAAGCTCAGGGGATGACAGCTGAACCTTAGGCAGGAAGCTGGCAAGAGACACTCAGGGAAATGCCCTGTTGTAAGGTTCAGATGACGCAACCACAAGTCACACCAGGTTAGTGGGGACAAAGGACCTACTGCCCAACGTGGAGTGGGGCAGGCATCAGAGCCTTTAAGGGCTGTGAGGATAATGGCTGAAAAGGTGGAAGAAGTGGAAGTCAGGGGTTTGGAGTATTGCTGAGGATAAGAAAGGGCGATAGGGCTAATGGGAACAGAGAGCGAAGAGACCACTTTTCCAGGATTAGAAACAAGCAGTGAGGATACAGTAGAGAGTGCATGTGTTCTTTTAATGTGGGTCTTGCAATTTTTTTCTTTGTGTTAGTGTTATGTGTGCTTACATGTGTAAGCCCATGTGTCAGGTTCTTATTCTTATTTTGTAATTTTTTTCTATGTGTTCCTGTGAGGTTAGAGACAAGAGACAACCTTGGCTGTCACCCGTCAAAGTCACCGCCTTGTTTTTGGTACAGGGTCTCTCATTGGCCAGCTCATCAAGTAGGCTAGGCTGGCTGGCCAGTGAGTGCCAGGCATCTGCTTGATTCCCCATTCCCAGAACCAAATGCATGCACTATCCTATGTAGTGTTTTCATTTATCACATTTATTGAGTGTGTGTGCATGTGTTCGTGCGTGTGTGTGTGTGTGTGTGTGTGTGTATGCGCGCGCACGCACATGCGTGCGCACGTGCATTCCATGGTACACCAGTAGAGGTTAGAGGACAACTTCTGGGAGTTGGCTTTCTCCCTTTATTTTGTGGGTCTCAGGTCATCAGCTTTGACAGAAAATGCCTTTATCCGCTGAGCCATCCTTCTGAGATTTTATTTGTTGTTTATTTTGGTTTTTTTGGGGGGGTAGGTTCTGGGGAATCGAACTCAGGTGCCCACACAGCAACATGTTGCCATTTGAACTATGATTTTGTATTTTCAAGGAAGGGATAGTAATCCACCCCCTTTCAAATGCAGACACTTTCTGGACCAACCCACAGATAAAGCTGTCCCTGACTGAGAAGGATGAGGTCCAGGACAGCTGCACTTTCCTAGCAGCCTTGATGCAGAAAGACCGCAGGAAGCTCAAGAGATTTGGTGCCAGCATGCTGACCATTGGCTATGCCATTTACCAGGTAGGGTCCAGCTGCTCTCAGTGTCCCTGCAAGGGCTTTGAGTCTCCTGTTGCTTCTGGACTCTGTGCCATGATCAATAGCCAATTCTCCAATTGAGTGTGAAGATCAGAGTCATGTCTCCCTGATGAACTCTCCTTCCCTTGCAGTGCCCAGACAAGGACCAGGACAAGGATGGACACCTGAGTAGGGACTTTTTCAGGTACAATGCCTCCCTGGCACGAAGCAAGACGTTCATCAACTTGAGAGAAGTCTCAGGCCGCTTCCAGCTGCCCCCGGGAGACTATATCCTCATCCCCAGCACCTTTGAGCCACACCAGGAGGCCGACTTCTGCCTGAGAATCTTCTCTGAGAAGAGAGCAGTTACTCGGTGAGGAGTAGGGGATTGGAGAGCCCTCCCTCAGTGTGCACTGTATGTCAGGGTCACCTGGAGAGTCCAGCAGAGCTAGACCTGCATCCCCCTCCCATCACCTGCTCAGGAAGTGATGGGTACAAAGAACTTGCATGCCCTGGCTACAGATCCCTTCTCCTGCACACCAGTGGTAAGTCCCTTGCTCCTGGAGTCGTGCTTAACAGGCCTTTTGGGTATAGCCATTTGTTTCTCAGCCCCAATTCCCAAGAAGCTTCAAGAATGGGGTGGGGGCTTATTTAGGGATACTGAGTATATTTATGCACTTGATGGTGAAGGTGACTATTGGAAGTTTCCAGAATCACACAGTCTTTCAGCTCTGGTCTAAACACCCACCAGTGAGTGTGAACCATTTCACACTGCCACCTCGTGCTCAGGAGTCTTAAAAGAGGTCTTTCAAATTCGTTCCTCCTGTTGATAACATTTTTCACCACTATCATTCACCATCAGTGACTGTGTTTGTGGCACAGGGGGAAATATAAGAACTCACTTCCTAATCTAGGGAAGACCATCACAATGGTTCTCAACCCATGGGTCGCGACCCCTAGGGGTTGAATGACCATTTCACTGTGGTCACTTATTAGATATCCTGTATATCCGATATTTACAGTTCGCAACAGTAGCAAAATTACAGTTATGAAGTGGCAAGGAAAGTAATTTTATGGTTAGGGGATCCCCACAACATGAGGAACTATATTAAAGGGTCGCAGCATTAGGAAGGTTGAGAATCTGGAGAATTCCAGATAAAGCTTCAAAAGCGGCCAACATCCTCAGATATGTCAAGAGAGATGGCTGTTGGCTCACCACTCTTGTCTACCTTCTGTATAGGAAGGCAGAACGGGACTGGTAGTGTGTAATGAGAGGGTCCCCAGCTCCAAAGTGTGGCTGGGGTTCTCAGTGGAGGACAAATAGAAGCAATGAAGTCTTCACATTTCTCCAGTGCTCTTACACTGATACAAGTCAAGGATGGGTTTCTCAGCATCCATTCCCACATAATGCCTATATAAGCCCAAGATGACCATATCCTGTAAGTGGCCAGCACAGGACAGAGCCAAGTGACACCGGTCCTGAGCCTTTGCTTTCTATCCTGTTAGAAGACTGAAAGTTGACCCCCTGGGGTCCCATTATGATGCAGAGACCAAGTCAGCACTGTGTTCTCATCAGAGGGGATATAGTGAGCTCTGTCTGTTGGTGTGGCTCTCAGGGAAGGCCCTAACCTTCAGCATTTCTGGGGGGATAATGCCATATATGTTCAGGGAATGATGAGGGAGAGAACAGTGTCTTGATTATGCTTCCTATTGCTGCGATAAAATGCCTTGGAAAGAGCAATTTAAGGTTTAATTTTTAGCTCACAATTCTAGGTGCATTATTTCCATGTTAGTGGGGGGAGCCCAGGAGCAGGAGCTCAAAGCAGCGGCTCACATTGCACATGCAGTCGAGAAGCAGAGAGAGATGGATGCCGCTGCTCAGCGGGCTTTCTCCTTTCTGTGCAGTTCAGAACCCACCCAAGAAGAAACAGTGCTGAGCAGGCCGAGTGGCTGCTCTCTGATTGCACATCTCCTCTGGAGGCAGAGCTTATGGGTATTTGGAGGAGCCGAGATCACGCCGAGAGCCCTCTTTGGAGTGCATCTGGAAGGCAGGAGATGCTGTTATAGTCTCTTGTTGTCATGTGCTCAGGACTGCAAGCTAGCCTTGAGTTAGGATCACGGCAGTCTCCTTCTCTCTGGCACTCTGGGCAGGGTTGAAAGACTGGGGATGGTGTTGGTGCAGGGAGGGGTTGCCAGCCCCATGAGAAACAAACCACACTGAATAAGAAGGCTCTGACTGGCCAGGGCCTCTCCATAGCTCTAGTCCTGTGGGATGCATGTCCACAACTGAGATGGTGTGCTTTCTGCCACTGCAGGGACCTGGATGAGAACATAGACATTGATCTCCCTGAGGTGAGTCCTCTGGTGTGGCTGTGGAGGATGGGGTTCAGCTGGAGTTTCTAGAACTCTTCTTTCAAATCACTGTTCCTCTCAAAAATCAAATTCAGGAGCTGGCTGCTTGTAGTGAGGTAAGCAACCTGGCTGGCTCTAACCCAGAGGCCAGGGCTTTTGTTTCTCATCCCTCATCACCCAGGGGACTAGGCAGGAGCACTGGGATGCTTGGAATAACAGTCTTGCACGTGCCATCTTTCTTTGGGCTTCCTCTTCCCCTGAGAGGCCTTTGCTAATTGTTAAGGAAGTAAAATGATTTCAAATTTATTTAAGAAGATAACTGAGGTGGAGCACTCTTGTAATTCCAGTGCTTTGGAGGTGGAGCCAGGAGGGTCAGGAATTCAAGGCCAGTCTTGGCTACCCGGTAAACCTAAGACCTTCCTGAGATATGTAAGGCCCCATCTCATAATAAACACACAAAAAAGAAAGAGGAAGGAAGGAAGGAGAGGAGAGGAGAGGGGAGAGGAAGCGAGAAAGGATGGGAGGTGGGAGGGAAGGAACAGGAGGAGAAGAAGGGAGGGAGAGAGAGGAAGGCAGGGATAGAGAGAGGAAGACAAGAAAAGAAAAATGAGTCCGGTTGATTTGGAGAATACAGGACTCACTGCGGGGGGCTATGAGATTTTTTTTTTTTTTGGTTTTTCGAGACAGGGTTTCTCTGTATTGTTTTGGAGCCAGTCCTAGAACTCGCTCAGTAGACCACGCTGGTCTCGAACTCACAGAGATCCGCCTGCCTCTGCCTCCCGAGTGCTGGGATTAAAGGCCTGCGCCACCAATGCCTGGCGGCTATGAGATCTTTAAGATTGCTTAAGATCTTTTTATACATGTGCAGATGTCTATGTGTGGTATATATGTCACAGAGGTAAAAGGGGGCTAACCAGAAAGAGGAAGTGCCCTAGCAGGGAGGGCAGGAAAGGCTAATGGAGGAATTAATAAAGCCAAAGTACATAATATGCTTGAATCAAAATGTCATTGTGAAATCCAAAGTTGTATAATAGATATTGGCTATATGAGTGGTGAGGGAAGACTCACCAAGTGCTTCTGAAATAGTCGGAATGTTCACCCGCAGCTGAAACCTGCTTTGGGGGAACACCTGCTGCTCTGTGCGGCCCCCCCCGCCCAGGGCTACAGTTTATAAGTGGACCAAAATCTGCAGAAAAGCAAAAAGCAGAACAGCTAAAGTGTACTGAGCCATCTGCCTGCTCTGGGTGCTGGTGACACTCTTGGAAGGTGACTATCAAGTCAGATAATGGATCAGGGGATGAGGTTGGAGCATGGCAGCCCTGTGCCAAGCTGCCAGTCAGGCCCAGACACCCTTAGCTTTCTCATTCCTGTTAAGTGAAACTTACGGAGCTCTCTGTGAGTACAGACAGAGCTCTTACTCTGGGCAACTGAAACGGGGTCATTCAAGCTCAACTTCATGTTCCTGAGATGAAACCAGTTGTTCATCTAGCTTTGAGAAATCTGGAGATGTGGGATGAACTCAACCTAACGGCTCTGGCCGTGTGACTAGGAAGGCCCCCTGCTCTAACTCCCACATGAAACTCTCTGGAGTGCCGATGCTGATAGCTGTGTTCCATGCTGGGCGTTTCCCATTCTTTTCTTTTGTTGGATGGGGATTGACCCAGGACCTCCCACCTACTAGGGAAGAGCTCTACTGGCTTTTCCTTCAGGGATGACAGCGTAGTATCTGTCCGATGTGGGGTTCTTCTTTTCTGCTATTTATGTGAGAAAGTATGTGTCAGGTTTCTCTTCTGTGAGCCCTGCTCTGCCCTTTACACAACCTCTTTTGGTTCTTTCAGCCCCCAAAGCCAACTCCACAGGAGGAGGAAACTGAGGAGGAGCAGCAGTTCCGGGCCCTGTTCCAGAGAATCGCTGGTGAGGTAGGATGCAGCTGTCTTGGTCCCCTCCTACCTCCAGCCTGACCTTGGCTAAGGCCTGCTCTGGGGTCCCAGCAGAGGACTGTGACTATGGACTTGTCAACAGCACCTCCCCAAGCCCTTCTGGGCTTGTTGTAAAACAAAATCAGGTCTGGTTCTTGGGGACCTGAGCTCCAGCTTGTTGACAGTGTCAACTCAATGCACCTCTGTTGAGCAGTGATAGGTTAGGGATAGGGTTAGGTTAGGGTCCTTGGTCTTCCACCTCATTCCCATCTCTGCTCAGCTTCCTTTTGGGGAGCCCTGGCAATTCTGGGGGATGAGATGAAACCTCATGTAGCTCCAGGCCTCATGCCACTGCTGGTTCCTGCCTCACTGGAGACCATGATGGAAGGAGCCCGATGAATTAGCTCATGTCAGACACTATTGACTCTACTCCCTTGCTCCCTTCTCCTGCCTGGGGCTCCTGGATTGAAAGGGGCAGTCCAGAGAAGCGATCTCACACTTGGAGAGCCATAGTGACTGGTTGCTTTGCAGATACCTAACCAAGTGAAGCAGTGGACTCTGGTAGACAAACGAAGCCATATGGATGCAGCCACCCCTCTCCAGATCCGGGAAAAGTATGGTAGAGGCTGAGGGGGGCAAAGCTCCAGAGTCAAAAGATCTCCCAAGGGTTCCAGAGGCGACAGGATGGCCCTCATCATGATAGCTGCAAGCCCTTGAGCAGGTGCATGAGGCATGGACGGATGTCACTGAGGGAGAGGGCAGCATTTGGAAGGAAGTGGGGGACAAATGCAGGAACACTCACTCAGCCTTCATTACTAACAACAAATAAAAAGCCCCTTGAGAGTGAAGTTCTGCCTGCTCAGGCCCTGTCCTGCTCTCCATCCAACTGGGTGGCTGGGTGTAATATCTCCATGCTTATTTCCCCTGGCCAGGGTAGCCGTGTACTGCAATTTACTTTCTTACTAGAGCTGAGCATCCCAAACACCCACTCCCAGGCCAGGGAGCTTCAGTGGCAGAGACGACTGGCATATGTTAAAATAATGTCAACAGTGACTATGTTCAGCACCCAGGCGTATTGAGGAGCTAGCCAGATCTTCATGTGCATAAAAACCACATAGGTAGCCAAATGTGGTTACTGGTGCCTGTCATACAAGCACCTGGGAAGCTGAGGCAGAACGATTTTTAGGCTAGCCTGGGCTACAGAGTGAGACCTTGTCTCAAAAAGACTAAACGAGGCCTGACAAGATGGTTTGGCAAGTATCAGCACTTGCCATACAAGCCTGGTGGCCTGATTTTGATCCCCAGCACCGAGGTAAAGGTGTCAGGAGAAAACTAGCCCCACAAAGTTGTCCGCTGACCTACACACACATACGTGTTCATACATAACACACACATATGTGTTCATACATAACACACACACACACACACACACACGCTACAACAAAATTTCCTTTAAAGTGCCTGGACATCCTAGAGCTGCAGACTCCCTTTCATGACTCTGGCAATGTCTCAATGTCTCTCTCACCAGCTTTTGCTTTGTGGATGCTGGGGCTAATGGGTTTCTTATACTGAGGATTTCAGTATTCACCCCTAGAGGTTTTATATTAACCAGTGAACTGAGTCCTAGGTATTCTGTCTTGAATAGCAGGTGAGACTCCAATACATGAAGTGTTTCTGGTTCTCTGGGTACTCCTGTGAGAAGGTACAAGAACCTGCTGGCTCTCTAAACACCTTCTGGCCCTTTAAAGTTTCTGGTGGCCTTTTGAAGCCTTCTCAGAGAATCTTGCATCCTCAGGGAACTGGGCAGCATGCCTCACCCTTCCAGAGTCTTTCTGGGCTGTCGCTCCTGGGGTGGTTGCCCTTCCCAGAGAAACCAGTGGGTTACAGCTACCATGGATGTGAACTCAGTTCCCAGCACAGTGTCCCCAGGGCCAATCTCTCCAAAGAGCCAAGTCAAGCTTACATTTGCTAAGGACCATAAAGAACAGTTGTCTCTACTCTGCAGGACATGGAGGTGACAGCCGAGGAGCTTGAGTATGTTTTAAATGCTGTTCTGCAAAAGAGTAAGTATCATTCCCACAGGGGACGGCCTCCCTGGAGAGGAAGAGTGACCACACTGTCAGAGCTCTCCCAGGCTCTGCTCCTTTAGAGCCTTGGACCTGCTCACCACAGTTGACCCATATACAGACTGTAGAAACTGTTCTCAGTGTTTACTTCCTAACTGCACACATGATGCAGGCTTCTGGTAGTGTGTTCTGTAGACTTTTCTACAGAAGAGCAAGTGGCAAAGATAAAAACCAGCACACTTTATGACCCCCAAGTAACCACTGTCACCGTGTGTGGTCTGTGCTCTGCAAGTGTGAGTGTGTATACATATGCATACATATATGCTGTGCATGTGTGTATATATGTCTCTGTTGTCTGTGCTATGCATGTTACATGCATGTATATATGCATACATGTGTGTTAACTGTGCTGTGTGTGCAATTTGCGTGTGCATGTATGTATTCTCACATGTGTATATGTATCTAAGTTTGCACATGTGTGTATACGAAGTCCATTACATTACATTTTTTGCCACAGCAGTGGCTGTCTATTCCATCATCCCCCAGTTCCTGATAACCTCTCATCTACTTTCCATCTCAGACTTGCTATTCTGGACATTTTATATAAAAGAATCATGCAATATGTGGTCATTACTGAATTCTTACACATAGAATACTGGTGTGTGTGTGTGTGTGTGTGTGTGTGTGTGTGGTGTTCACGTGTACAGGTGTGCACCTGCATGTAGAGCCAGAGGACAACCTCAGATATGGCTCCTCCTGTGTGTGTGTGTGTGTGTGTGTGTGTGTGTGTGTGTGTGTGTGTGGTGTTCACGTGTACAGGTGTGCACCTGCATGTAGAGCCAGAGGACAACCTCAGTATGGCTCCCCCTGCTTTCGTTTGTTTGGATAGAGTCTCTCATTGACCTGGGACTCAGCAAGTAAACTTGTCTGGCCTGCCATGGAGCCTCCAGGACCTCACTCTCCAGTCCTGGGATTACAAGTTCACTCCAGTACTTCTGGATTCTTTTTATGTGGGTTCTGGAGACCTGAACTTAGATCTTCATGCTTACAAGACAAGCACTTCACTGCCAGGACCATCTCCCTAGCCCTTGCTTGTATTTTTTTTAGACAAGGTCAGGCTAAATACCTAGACTGGCCTCAAATTTACATTCCTCCAGCGCCAGAATCTTGAGTGCTAAGATTACAGGCACGACATCCACCCAGCTACCACAGTGTTTTTAAGATTCTTTCAACTGTGTGTGGATATCAAATTTCTTCAGCAATTTTGGTGCAATTTTTGTTTGTTTGCTTGTTTTGTTTTAAACCAGGTTTCACTTGGGCTGTGCCTAACCTGGACTTGCTGTGCTTCTCCTGCCTCTGCCTCCTTAGTGTGGAGGTTATAAGCACGCGCCATCACATTCAGCTCCTTAGCAATTTTAGACCCTGCCCATTGAACTTTTGTGAGCTGATCACTAATGTGCACTTAGGAAACAGTGGAATATTGCGTGGTTGCAGTTAACTCATGTTAACTCCTCTCTGGCAATTTATATAATTTCTAAATAATATTTGCAATTATAAACAGGATGATGAATGGGCTGGAGAGATGGTTCAGTGGTTAAGAGTTGCTCTTGCATATGACTGGAGTTTGGTTTCCAGCACGGGAGTTAGGCTGCTCATAGCCTCCTGTAACTCGAGCTCTGGGGGATCTGATGCCCTCTCTTGCCTCCACAGGCACCTGTGCATACAAATAGCAGACAAACCCACATATGCACAGATTAAAAGAAAACAAATCTTTAATAAACAGACAGATGGTAAAAAAAATTAGGATTCCCTAGTGCTCAAGTAAATGCATGAGAACAGCCCCATCCCTAAGGCTTTTTGCACAGATTGCAAACCTTTCTTCCAGAAGTCCAGCCCTGTAGCATGAATAATAAAAACCCAGAGACAGATATTGGGTTAAAGCTGAAGACCAGAGAAGCAAAACGGCCAGCCACTAGAGAGTTCTCACCTCCCCCAATGCTCAGACCGAAAGGGCGATCCTGTCCTCAGACTGCATCTCCAAACTGCACTGCTCCTCAGACTGCCTAGACTGCAGACTGAATACAACACTGCATTCCTGTCTCCACCCGCCTTATATTACTCTCTAGTGCTGGGATTAAAAGGTTGCACCACTGCCGCTCAGTTTCTATGGTTTACTAGTGTGGCTGCTAGGACTAAATGTATGTGCCACCACTGCCTGGCCTCTATGGCCTCTAATGTGGCTAGCTTAGCACTCTGATCTTCAGGCAAGTTTTATTTGTTAGATCATGAACAAAATATCACCACACAGCCCCTACTCTCAACATCCTAAGACAGTGTCCACATCATGGTCCCAGAGAGCCTGATCTGCCTACACTTAAGGGCTCTCAGAAGAAGGGAGAGTAAGTTTGTCTTGTCAGGTTAATTGATCTCACAGCTTCCCATATGATTGCAGAAACAGCCCTCAAGTTCAAGAAGCTGAGCCTGCTGTCATGCAGAAACATCATCTCTCTGATGGATGTATCCTTTCCATGGACTGGTCCCTCTGAGCAGTGGTGTCTTGTGGTGCTCTCTTTCCTGGATCGGGTTCCACAGCTCTAAAAATTGGAGGCCTTGCCGACCTAACCGGGGTTGGGTCAGAATCAAGAGGGTCAGGACATTGCAGTGGGGAGAGGGCTTCTGAAGGGATCTGGGGGTCTCCCCCAGGGAATAATGGGTCTGCTTTGCTCTATTGTAAATAATCAGGTGCCCACCCCCATCTCACCTGCCATTTACCCTCTTCAGAGGGTCCTGTTCCCATCACTAAGGTTACTCCCCCAGGGCCCCACTCAACCCTGGTCTCCTCCTGTGATCCCAGAGCTGGGTTCCCACAAGGGCCCTAACTTAAAAGACCCTTAGCCCATGTGGCCAGACAAGCGGCAATGGAAAGCTGGAGTTTGAAGAGTTCCGGGTATTCTGGGACAAGCTGAAGCACTGGATGGTATGTGATCTAATCCAGACCCCCAGCAGAGTGGGGCAAAAACCTAGGCTATAGACTGAGTAGTGTTGGGAGGGGAGTCCGTGAACCACAGTGCGTCCTGATGCTGGCAGAGGTACCACAGTGCTTCCACTCAGAAGGAAAGGAGGCAAAAGAGGACCCATGGCTGGGAGGAGAGCCTGCCAAGTGAGACCCTAACTTCTCAGCACTGCACTGAAAAAAAGTGGGCCTAGCCTAGCAGGGGTGGTGCACGGCTTTAATCCCAGCACTCTAGAGATAGAAGCAGGAGAGTCTCCAAGTTTGAGGCCAGCCTGGTCTACAAAATGAGTTCCAGGACAGCAGAGCTACTCAGAGAAATCCTGTCACACACACACACACACACACACACACACACACACACACACACACACACACAAAGAGGCGGAAAGGACGAAATGAAAAGAGGACCTACAAACTTGGGGGTCTAGCTAACTGATAGTGTGTTTGTTTAGCATGTATGAAATCCTAGGTTTGATCCCCAGCATGAATCTGGAAATTTTGATGAACATCTATAATTCCAACACTTAGGCAGTGGAGACACAAGGATCAGAAGTTTAAGGTCATTTTCTGCTACATACAGATTTGGAGTCTAGCCTGGAATACATGAGACTCTGTCCAAGAAAAAGAGAAAGGAAAGAAGGAAGGAAGGAAGGAAGGAAGGAAGGAAGGGAGGGAGGGAGGGAGGGAGGGAGGGAGGGAGGGAGGGAGGGAGGGAGGGAGGGAGGGTCCTGGTCCATTCTTGCCTGTCTAGAAGGCAGCTGTCATCCCTGGGAGCTACCAGCTGTCACTGACCACTCTCAATGCTCTACTCCCTGACCCCAGAGCCTGTTTCTCCAGTTCGATGTGGACAAGTCTGGTACCATGTCTTCCTATGAGCTGCGGACCGCCCTGAAAGCTGCAGGTAAAGAAACAACTGTCAGATGTGTGTGCAGCTGATATTTTCATGTGTTTTAAGAGGGTGTGAGTACAAACTATGAACCTGGAAAGAACATAAGAGAGGAAAAAGAGATGAGGGTGGATGGGACCATCATTTGGACCCGTGACAGGAACAGGAAGGAGGCTGGGTGGAATGGGGGAAGTGCAGGGAAAAAATATGGGGAAAAGAATCAACAACAACAAAAACCTAAACAGGACTATCTGTGGCGAGTATGGTTGGTCCGCCTTGTTATGTGCTAAACAGGCATTTGCAACTGACCGCAGCAGAAGGCACAGCACAGTGTGACACCTTGGGTTCTTTGTGAAGAACAAAATGTGCCGTGAACATGAGACAGTGCCTGATTCTCTGGGCAGCTTTCAATCCCACTTCCTGGGCAGAATAGACTGAGCAGGAAACTACAGAGTTTAACCAAGTCTGCAGTCCTGAGTTGATGTGGGGGAGAGATGCTCATCTGTTCCTTTGGTCTTTTGGAAGAGATGCCAGGACGAGCTCTGAGTCTGACCAGCCTCCGCTTCTGGGGAACTGGAAGCATTAGTAAGAAGGCCCCCCGGTGGACTTCCAAATGCTCCTGTGAACACATGGTCAGGCACACATGGATTAGGAAGCAGAGCAATAAAAGTCAGAGGCAGGTGGAATTCCAACTCATCCGAACTGTCTGATGAATGCCAGAGAAGCGGAGCCATGTCCTGTGGTAGCCAGGGCACCTCCAGGGCCACACTGGCCTCCAATGTGCATAGCACCTCTCTCTAGCATGATGTGAGGAGTGAGTCTCTACACAGTATCGTAACACGAATAATAAAAGACCCAGAGACTGATACTGGGGATAAAACTTCAAGCTGAAGTTCAGAAAAGCAAAGCACCTGGCCACTAGCTCCTAACACTAACTCAGACTGAACGGGCTGATCCTGACTCCACGAGCTCTCAGCAAGCCTTAGACTGCTGCCTCTCAGCATGGCTGGAAAATGAATCCTTGAGACCTTGTTTCTGTCTTATATACTTTCCTAATCTTAGGGTTGAAGGTGTGATCTATAAATCTCTTTTAGACGGACTCACTCTTGTGTAGATCTGGGTGGCCTTGGACTCACAGAGATCTGTCTATCTCTTAATCCTGAGTCCTAGGATTGAAGGTTGTGCCACCACCTCTTAGCTGGGATTAAAGGTGTGTATCACCTCTGCTTGATCTCTATAGCTTGAGGCTGACTTTACTTTTCTGAATCCTCAGTCAAGCTTTAATAAATCATAAATAATATATCACTACACAGTACCCCCCCCATTGAGGGTAGTAGCACCCACCATTAGGAGACAGCTACAACACCCTGGATCTTTTTTTTTTAATTTAAATTAGAAACATGCACGCTTCAAATGTCAATTCCAGCTCCCCACCTTCTCCCTCCACCAGCCCCACCCCCACCCCCCACTCCCAGCCCAATCCCCACATCGCTCCCCAGGGAGGGTGAGGCCCTCCTTGGGGGGATCTCCAGAGTCTGTCATTTCATCCAGGGCAGGACCTAGGCCCTTCCCCATGTGTCCAAGCTGAGAGAGCATCCCTCCATGTGGAATAGGCCCCCAAAGTTCATTCCTATGCCATGGTGAATACTAATCTACTACCCAAGGCCCCAGAGATTTCTGAGGCCTCCTCACTGGCACTACATTCATGGAGTCTGGATCCATCCCCTGTTGGCCTCTTAGCCATCAGTCTGGGGTTCAAGAGCTCCCCCTTGTCCAGTCAGCTGTCTCTGTGGGTTTCACCAGCATGTTTTTGACCCTTTTGCTCATCACTCCTCCATCTCTGTCACTGGGTTCCAGGGGGGTCAGTTCAGTGTTTAGCTGTGAGTATCTGTCTCTGCTTCCATCAGTCACTAGATGGAGGTTCTAGGATGGCATATAAGGTTGTCATCAACCTTATCATCAGGTAGTGGCTATTAATGTCTCTCCGCTATTATTTAGTTTTCCAGTTGGTGTTATCCTTGTAGATCTCTAGAAATCTCACTAGTGTCAGCTCTCTCCTCAAACCTATAATGACTCCTACTATTATGGTATCTCTCATCCTGGTCTCCTCTGTTCTTACCCTGACTCAACCTTCCTGCTCCCCATGTCTTCTTCTATCCTCCTCTTATTCCCCTCTTTTTCCTGGTTCCCTCTCCTCTCCCCCCATGTTCCCATTCTGCTCAGGAGATCTAGCCTCTTTCCACTTCTCTGGGGTATAATGCATATCTCTTGAGAACTTCCCTGTTTCCCAGACTCACTGGCCCTGGGATTGTAGGCTAACACTCCCCTGATCCATGTCTAAAATCCATATATGAGTGAGTACATACCATGTTTGTCTTTTTGTGACTGAACACCCTGGATCTTAAGGGTCTTGAGAAATACCAGTGGACTGGGCAGATGGCTCAGCCATCAAGTCCTGGCCACACTAGGCACAAAGAGCTGGGTTCAATCCCCAGAACCTGTGTAAGATAAGTCAGGTGTGGTGGCATGCACTTATAATCCTAGCACCAGGGAGACAGAGAGAGGAGGATTCCTGAAGTTTGCTGGCCAGCTAGCCCAGACTATTTGGCAAGTTCCAGACCAGTAAGAGGTTTTGTTTCAAAAAATCAAAAGGGGTGGCCCTGAGGACTTACAGCTGCCACTGACCTCTGGCCTCTACCCATATGGACATCCACATGAACACATGCACACAGGCTTTGTAAGTTGAATAAATTCACTTTTGTGGCTCTAGAGACCCCAAAGCTGTGGCTTCACCATGGGGCTCAGCTGTGGCAGGTCGTGAGTCTGTCCCTCTGCAGGTTTTCAGCTGAGTGGCCATCTCCTGCAGCTGGTCATCCTCAGGTACGCAGACGAGAGCCTCCAGCTGGACTTTGATGACTACCTCAACTGCATGGTGCGGCTGGAGAATGCAAGCCGTGAGTGTGCAGGGGAACTGTGAGTGTGCAGGGGAACTGTGAGTGTGCAGGGGAACTGTGAGTGTGCAGGGGAACCGTGAGTGTGCAGGGGAGCCGTGAGTGTGCAGGGGAGCCGTGAGTGTGCAGGGGAGCCGTGAGTGTGCAGGGGAGCCGTGAGCGTGCAGGGGAACTATGAGTGTGCAGGGGAGCCGTGAGTGTGCAGGGGAGCCGTGAGCGTGCAGGGGAACCGTGAGCGTGCAGAGGAGCCGTGAATGTGCAGGGGAACCGTGAGTGTGCAGGGGAGCCGTGAGTGTGCAGGGGAGCCGTGAATGTGCAGGGGAGCTGTGAGTGTGTAGGGGAGCCGTGAGTGTGCAGGGGAGCCAAGATGTTTAGGGGGTCCATGAGTGTGCAGGGGAGCTGTGAGTGTGCAGGGGAGCCGTGAGTGTGCAGGGGAGCCGTGAGTGTGTAGGGGAACTATGAGTGTGCAGGGGAGCTGTGAGTGTGCAGGGGAGCTGTGAGTGTGCAGGGGAACCGTGAGTGTGCAGGGGAGCCGTGAGTGTGCAGGGGAGCCATGAGTGTGCAGGGGAGCCGTGAATGTGCAGGGGAGCTGTGAGTGTGCAGGGGAGCCGTGAGTGTGTAGGGGAGCCGTGAGTGTGTAGGGGAGCCATGAGTGTGCAGGGGAGCTGTGAGTGTGCAGGGGAGCCAAGATGTTTAGGGGGTCCATGAGTGTGCAGGGGAGCCGTGAGTGTGCAGGGGAACCGTGAGTGTGCAGGGGAGCCGTGAGCGTGCAGGGGAACTGTGAGTGTGCAGGGGAGCCGTGAGTGTGCAGGGGAACCGTGAGCGTGCAGGGGAACCGTGAGTGTGCAGGGGAACTGTGAGTGTGCAGGGGAGCTGTGAGTGTGCAGGGGAGCCGTGAGTGTGCAGGGGAACCGTGAGTGTGCAAGGGGGCCGAAAGTGTAGGGGAGGAGGGGTATGTGTGCAGGGGAACCAAAAGTGTGCAGGAGAGCTGACAGTGTTTTTGACCCCTGGGGACATGGAGTGCCCAGCTAGGGTCTCCAGTCCCCATCTATGAGAATGTAAGAATCAACCTGGGGAAAATATGGTAGATGTAGAACAGAGAGGCCACCGTGGGGTCTGTGCAGATAACTATGTCCTGTCATCAAAAGAGACAGAATAGGAATGGCTGCAAACTCTGTCCTGTGGCTGCCATTCATCGCACACCTACAGGCTGTGAAGGGATATGAGCAGGCAGGTCTCACGCCTCTTACTGAGGAAAGGTACCATTTCAGATCGAGTTCCCTCACAGAACACAGAAGGAAAGTCTTTGCCCCCCACCACCACCTGCTGTCCCTCTGGAAGCCCTAGATATACACTCAATCATTTTAAGCAAGGTCTGCTATACCAGAAAGCAGGGAGGCATGTATATAGGTGCTCTAAAGAGGGGGTTCATTATCACACTCTCCCTCTACAAATAGCTCCAAAGGGTGGCCAAATGTGTCCAGGGCAGCTCAGTCATCCTCTGTCCCTTATGCTCAAACAAATATGTCCCAATTCTTGTGGTCTTATAATTGCCATACATTTTACACCCCTAGAAAAAGTCTTAGCTAACCTTCACCTCCATGGGTTCCCCAGTCCATAATGAAGTGCCCAATGTAGTGACAGATCATTGTCGCCATTGCTTGGTAGACTTGGCATCCAAACAGGTCAGAACTGCATTTATGGAGTCCCCCTTTTCTCTTTTTTGCTCTGGCACAGCCCTTCTCCCCCTTGTTAATCAAGATTTGTTTGTATCTCTTCTGGAGTGGGAGTCTGGGGTCCAGAGAAGACCGTGGCTTCCCAAATCACTTGGGCCAGGAACGGTCTCCAGGCAGGGAATCTGGTCTCCACTAGAGGGAGCAGCTACCCACAGACTTCCCAGTGGTCCAGGAACCCTTAAACCTGCCCCGGGTCTTGTCTCCAATATGATGCTTCCTCTCTTCCACCAGGGGTGTTCCAGTCCCTGAGTGTGGAGAACAAGGACTTCATCCACCTCAACATAAACGAGGTATGGCCAAGCGGACCCCAGCCAGGGTCCAGGGGAGTATGAACCCTCTATAATGCTTACCGGATGCCCCAGGCAGGGCTAGCGCTCACAGTGGGCAATTACACAGTGTAGAGGCTGCTGTTTGTGCCCACTCCGAGTCAGTACGATCCTCGGTGTAACCCTTTGAGCTGTGTGTGTCCTCACTGAGCTGTGTGTGTCTGCTCATGCTGCGTGCCCAAGACAGAACGTGTGGAGGCAACAGACATTCTGTGAGAATGTGAGCAAGCCTGGTAGGACGAAGGGGAGAGATGAAACGCTTCCGGCTGCTTCCATAGCAGTTCATTTTCCCACAAAGAGCCTGAGCCATCATCCTGAGCCTGAGCCATCATCCTGCTTCTCGTTCCCTCAGCTCCACTATGGTAGAGGGTCAGGTCACCTTTATCTAAAAAAGGGGGGTCACCAAAAAGCAAGCACACTCACACTGCCCCACCCAAGATGCTTCTGTGAGGCTGTCCCCATCGACTGGGAGAAAACATATTTTCTTTTTTAGACTTATTTTTATGCTTATTTATTTTTAAATTTAATTTTACATTCCAACCAAAGTTATCCCTCCCAGCACTCCTCCCTCTTCTACTCGCCTCTCCCCTAGCCCCGCCCCATCCACTCCTCCCATGGGGAGTCAACAAAGTCTGGCTCATTAAATTGGGGCAGGTCCAAGGCCCTATTTCTGCGTTAAGGCTGAGCATGGCACCCCCTCATAGGGAATGAGCTCCAACAAGTTAGCTCATGCGCCCGGGATAGATCCTGGTGGAGACAACATATTGTCATTTCTCTGTCCTGAAAGTTTGTTGAGCATTTTTAGAAAATTCATTTGGCTGGAGAGCTGGATCAGTGTGTGAAGTGCCTGCTACACAGCATGAGGATCCAAGTTTGAGCCCACCGCAGCCCATGTAAAAGGCCAAGTTTGGTGGCTTATATCTGTGATCCAAGTACTGAGGGCTGGGGCAGGTGGCTCTCTGAAGCTCACTGGTCAGTGTGGCCAATCAGTGAGCTCCGAGTTCAGTGAGAGAACCTGTCTCAAAATATAAGGTAGGAAGAAAAATGCTTGATATCAACCTCTAGTCTGCACACATGCACACATACATAAAATAATTATATATTTTAATTTGTATAAATTAAAACCACCCGCCAATTTTATTTTAATTTAAACTTAAAAAAAAAACAAAGGTTTCAGCCGGGCGGTGGTGGCGCACGCCTTTAATCCCAGCACTCGGGAGGCAGAGGCAGGCAGATCTCTGTGAGTTCGAGGCCGGGCTGGACCGATAGCCTCCGAAACAATACAGAGAAACCCTGTCTTGTAAATACAAACAAAAAAAAAAAGGTTTCACATTGAGTCAGAAGTCCAAATTTGTAGGGAAAATGACCAGCAGAGTTCCTGTGACATAAACAACAGAGCCCACTCCTGTGCTAGACCAGACTCGGAAGAGCAAGCCCTCACCTCCTGCTTTATTTCCAGTTCATCATCTTGACCATGAACATCTGAGGATGCACCGATGAGATGCTGTCTGTCCCCCGGTACTCGGCTGCTGGACCATGAGACTCAGTTCTTAGTGGAGGACCATCCTGCCCTCTGCTCTCTCCCTGCCTTATAGCACCCTCCTGCATTCTCTGGTTCTGGGATACTTGTTGTAAAATCATTCCTCCACAGGAACCAATGGTACCACTGTCCCCAGTGCATGTTGCTAGAGGTTGCTAGGTACTCCTCCTTCCACTGCCCCCACCACTGACGGATCATTCAGTGTTCCAGTACCGTGCACGGGTCCTGGCTTCAGCATGCTCCAGTCATGCCACTAACACACCACACACACACACACACGTTTTTCTTTTTCTTTTTTAATTCAAGAAGAGGTTAGTAAAGATGTTCATCTCAGGTGGAAGAAATGGATCCTGCTGATTCTGAGAGTCTAAAACGCTATGGAAGGGGCTGGAGAGATGGTTCAGTAGTTAAGAGCATTGGCTGTTCTTCCAGAGGTTCTGAGTTCAATTTCCAGCAGCCACATGGTGGCTCACAAGCATCTGCAATGAGATCAGGTGCCTTCCTCTGGTGTGCAGGGATGCATGCAAGCAGAACACTGTATGCATAATAAACAAATCTTTAAAAATAAATAAATGCTATGGAAGAATATGGAAATTACTCTGATAGTACTATGGGTAACTGTTGGGCACTACTCTGTGTGTGTGTGTGTGTGTGTTACTCATGCATGGAGATTGGAGGACACCCTCTGGAGTCCATTCCTCACACACTATCTACCTTGTTTTTAAATATGTTTTTAATTATTATATTTTAAACTACATGCATACATGTATGTCTATGTGTACATGAGTACAGGTACCCTCAGAAGTCAGAAAAGGGTGTCAGATCTTCGATAGCTGAAGTCACAGTTATTGTGAGCTGGGTGACATGGGTGCTAAGAGCTGAACTTAGATTCCCTGCAAGAACAGTATGGGCTCTTACTTGCTGCACCATCTCTTCGGCCACTCCACCTTGGGTTTTTATTTGTTTGTGTTTTTGTTTCTGAGGCAGGGTCTTTCACTGGCTTGGAGCTCACCAGGTGGGCTAGGCTGGCCTGTCTCCACCTCCCCAGTGCCAGGCTTACAAATAAGTGCATACCACCACATTTGTTTTTGTTTGTTTGTTTGTTTTGTTTTGTTTTGTTTTGTGTATCGTGACAGGGTTTCTCTGTGGCTTTGGAGGGTGTCCTGGAACTAGCTCTTGTAGACAGGCTGGTCTTGAACTCACAGAGATCTGCCTACTGCCTCTGCCTCCCAAGTGCTGGGATTAAAAACATGCGCCACCACCGCACGCGACATTTGCCTTTTTTTAAAATGTGACCTCTGAGGGTTAAATTTAGATGCTCTGGCTTGAGAGGCAAGCACTTTACCCACTGAACCATCTCCTAGGCTTTCGTTCTAATTTTAAAAATATTTATTTCTTTTTAAATGAGACATCTGTGTGGAAGAATGTGCAGGTGCCTGAGAGGTCTGGAGGAGGGCACTGGATTCCCTGCAGCTGGAATAAATTATAGGCAACTGAGGGCTGCCTGATGTGCACTCTGGGAACTGCAAGAGCAGCACTTTTTTTTTTTTTTTTTTGGATAAAGTCTCACCTATGTCGTTCTGACTGGCCTCAAACTCACAGAGATTTGCCTTCCTTTGCCTCCCCAGTGCTGGGATTAAAGACATGTGCCACCAGGGAGTATTATTCCTAACCCATGAGCCACCTTTCCAGTCAACACTACTTTAAAAGAATGTTTTCTCCATTTGGAGAAACGACTCAATGGTTAAGAGCATGAACTGCTCATGTCAAAGACCGAAGCTGTCTCTGCAGGTCTTTAGATTTTCTCCTTTGGCCTCTGCCTGGTGGGACATACAGAACCAACCCCTGGTATTTGAAATTTGGAAGTGGCTCCCAACTTCCCCAAATCCTGTCACCTCAGAGCCTTGTGGTGCACTGAGAGGCCAGGGCTTCAGGAAAAGAGGGCATGTGACTTGGGCAAGGGTACCAAGTTTACTGGTGCCAGCCCAATTCAGGCCTCTGGATCTTTTGTGAAAACAAAGCGTCATTCTACTGAGAGCCAAGAACGCCTGCCAACTGCCAGTGTGAAGGCTACCCACCACCATAGCTGTGAATCAGCAGTAGGCTGTGCTGGCTACCAGTGTGACCTGGGCATGTTCCCAGCCCCTGGGCCTCTTAGAACGGAGAAAGGGAAGGAGAGGAGAGAGCTCAAAAGACTTTCAGGGCACCTGAACTGCATTGGAACACTGTTGGGGACAAAGCCTTGATCTTTGTCCGCATGGCTGTGCCCTGAGGGGAAGTTCTGTTCCTTCCAATGAGAGGAACTAGCCAGGCAGGCACTGGAGCCTCTGGGAGCAAACACAAGATAGGGTAACAGAAGCAGTTTTGAACTCAGGGTCTCTGTGCTCTCCGAGACCTCCGCCAGGCCACTCTGAAGTCCTCAAAGCACTAAGGCTTGAAGGCCAGGCTAGGGGAGGTATCTCCAAGTCTAACTGAGCTATGGAGACACTGGAAAGGGGGAGAAAAGATTTGCCCCATCCCCAGACACTGAGCTCAAGCAAGGGAAGATGTCTAAAGAACTGACTCTGTCACACAGGACCTGGCTTCCAGAAGCTTCTCAACTCTTCTCCTTCCCATTACAACACTGGGAACCACCATCTTAGGAGTTTGCCGGATCTTACTCGCTATACGGATGTAGTTGGTCCTCTTGTGCCCTAGAGTCCACCTCATACATTCTGGGATTATGATATTATTCCCATGATCAGTTCTCAACAAACTTCACCAGAACTTGAAATAGGAGTGTCAGGAAGGTGCATGTAGCCCCAGCCCCTGACCAAGCCCCTCTGTGACACTGAGTCTTTTTACACCCTGGCTTTCCCCTGCCTCCAGTCCCTCTTTATGACTTCCTTGGCACATTCGCCTGCCTTTGCTCAGACTTACTGGGTGCTCCTCAGCTCCTCTGCATTCCTGGTTACAGGTCCTGTCACTTCAGTCACTAGTCTGCTGTTGTCTGGTGTCTGGGCTTCCATGGTGAAAGGGGTAAACTAAACTCAAGGGCTTCACTTCTAATAATTTAGAAATAAAGGAACCAGACCCTCACTCAGCCCCCTGCTTTAGCAACCATGACAGGCTACAGAAAAGACACCTATGCCTCTGACACAAGGAAACTCCAGATCCTCTGGCCCCACCGAGCCTAGGGCCAAAACTGAACACGAAGGAATTCCAGGGAAGACCAAAACCTCTCCTGTAGTCTCCAGGATATAGTTCTGAAAACTATTGATATCTATGTACAACAGGTAGAGAGAAGCCTTTTCTTTGCCAGCAGTTTTGGTTTTTCCTCACCAGTCGCCTAGGCTCTGCCGCATTGTAGTCCCCAAATAACACATAAGATGCTGTATTAATTATGAAGCTGTTGGCCTTGCTTGTTTCTTACTGGCTAGCTCTGACTTAGTATTTAATCCATCTAAGTATTTCTCTTACCAGACGGACATCTTACCTCTCTGGTGGGCTACATGATGACTCCCTGTGTTTCTCCTACCCAGAATACTCCTCGACTCCTAGTCCCACCTATCTTGCTTCCCTATTGGCCAACAGTGCTTTATTGACATATACACAGGACTTCCCCATCAACCTACAAGTATCAAGACAATGCTATAGAAACCACAGAATGTTCCCTCTCAGCACGGACCAGTGAAAATAATTTGTACACAGGTATTTCATGGCAAAATATGACTTTGAGAAATTCTCCTGATTGTTTCCAAATGTCAACCAATCAGAAACCAACCCATACCTACTGATGTAATCCTGTAACTTTTGTCTATAAAATCTAACAGTAGACAGGGAACTTCACTCCCTCTGGGGGCTGCTGGGTCAGCTTGCTATATGTGGTTCCTGTCATGGGTGGGTGAACAATCATTAAACCTTGCTTTTGCAGTTTAGTGGGTATGTCTTCCTGGTGGTCTCTGGGGACTTTGCAACTTGGGCACAACACGTAGTGCTCCTTGTTCATACCCCAGAGGAGAGAAGTGTGTCTGCACCGCCATCCCGCACCCTGTGGTCACACGGAACTCCTCTGCCTCAGCACTCTCCGCTTTAGTTTTTGAGACAGAGTCTCTCACTAAATTTGGAGCTTTCCATTTGAGCTAAGACTGACTGGCCAATGAGCTCGCAAATCCATTTGGCTCTGTCCACAAGAGCTTGGATTATAGCTTTGTATGTGTGTTGGGGATCGAACTTGGGTCCTCCAGCTTGCTCAGCAAGCACTTTGCCACTGAGCCATCCCCCCAGACCCTTCATTCCTACCTTCTTAAATACTTTATAGTAAGGATTAGATTTCAATACAGGAGACCTCGGGGCACACATTGAAACCACAGATTCAGTACAAGGTGTTACTTCTAGATGGTTCTTTTTTCTTTCAATGTATTAAAGATGCTGGTCCAGCCTCCTACAGCTCACAGTGTTTCTGATGAAAAACCTGTGGTCATCCTTACTCTTGTTCCTTTGTGTGCACTGTGCTCTTGTGGTTGGGCTTCCTTCAACATCTCCACCCTATTGCAGGAGGAAGATGTGCTCCTGTGTTCTCTGTCTGCTTCCCATTCCATCCGGTGCGTTTTCTCACCCAAGCCAGTGTGGTTTCCATCTCTTCGGGTCAGCTGAGGTTCCCTGTCTTTTCCCTGTCTCTGTTCCAGCTTCCCCCTAGCTTTGTGCACACACAGAACACTGTAGAACACTATTTATGTCCTTATCTCTTAATTCATGTTCTGGGTCACTTCTGGGTCAGTTTAAAAGATTGATCTCCCTGTCATTATGGGCTGTATCTTCCTGCTTTGTCTGCATGACTGAGCATTTTAATTGATTGTGAATTTTAGCTTGGTTGCTAAATATTTTCACATCCCCATAAATATTCTTTAGCTCTTCAGAGAGACAGATTATTGGAAATCAGTGTGGTCATTCTGCATCTTGACTTAGGTTTTGCTACCTGGCACTGCAGCATCTAGTTTAGAGTTCATTTTCCCCACTGATAAACTCACACAGAAAAGTCTAGTATAACCTGTTAGTTTTAAGGCCTTTAATTTCTTAAATTATGTTTTAATATTTATTTTTTAAATGGAATGTGTATGGGTGTTCTCCTGAGGATATGTATGGGCGCCATGTGACTACAGGGAGCCTTGGAGGCCAGAAGGGGGTGTCAGATCCCCTAGAATGGGAGTTGTGTGTGATTGTGAGCCACCATGTTGGTGTTGGGAACTCAGGGTCTTCTCCAGAATCCCTCTCTCTTTTTCTTGAGACAGTCTTATGTAGTCAATCTGGAACTTGCTACGTAGCTGATAATGACCTTGAAATTTTGATCCTCTGCATCTAACTTCCGAACACTAGGATTACAGGCATGTAACCAAACTTGGGTTCTGTGGTGTGGGGCTCGAGCCGGGCCTCGTGCACTCAAGTCAAGCTCTCAATACCAACTAAGCTACATTTCTTGCCCCAAAGGTCTGTAATTTTATATTATTTATTTTTATATTATTTATTTATTTTTTATTTAAATTAGAAACAAGCTTGCTTCACATGTCAATCCCAGCTCCCTCTCCCTCCCCTCCTGCCCCACCCAGG